TGTATATATAGGGTGACTGAGAATAACGTTCGAATAACACAGGTATACACAATTAAACTTTTTGAAAGATGCTTTTATTTTGAAAACTGATTTTATATAATATTGGTGGCCTGGTTTAAAAAATTGTATGCATTTATTTGTATCAAATTAATATAAAAAATAATAAATAAAATATTGACTCTTTTTCAAGATCCCGTTAAAAGTTTGATATGACGCGGGGTGCTAGTAAATGATTTTCACGAAGTCTGGACGCTAACAATTCGGATGCATCCTTTGGAAGGTGCAAATCTCTAATTAAATCATTTAATTCGTTGTGGTTAACACTTCCGGCTCTCTGAAATCTGGTGTGAAACCTGAGTCATCTTGGTCGGAACCGTGCCTTGTTAAATTTAAACATAATAGAAAATAAGTTTTCTGAATAGTCAATTTGAATATTTTATAATAAATAGAAGCATACCATTTAAAAAAGGTGACATTTTATGAAATCAAATAAACGCCGCGTTTTTTCTTCTTTATATTTAAAATTCGGACTTTAAATTCTGTTGTTTGGTCTTCTGGTTGCCACACTCTCTATAACGAATTTACAGCTTTGGAAACGGTCGATACCCGCAGCGCATTATGTCACCAGAAACCGCAAAATAAATGCCACGACGGTTCACAGCTCGAAATGTGGCTAACACAAAACCCATTACAATCATAAAGGACTATTATCCTGTCCAGGGCCGTGGCGAAATTTATTCGCCTTTTATTTAGTGTTCGACGCGAAAGCTACATCATAAAAGTTCAAGACGGATCAAAGAAGTTATATTCTCGTGTGTCCACGGACGAATGAATCTTTTCCGTGGGTGGCAATACATCTCGGGAAATTTATGGGAGGATAGTTGACCGTTTTAATCGGCTCCTATTTCTCGTTTTGGACCAACCGAATTTCCTGATCGATAACCATTTCGTTCGAAATGCGAACGACCCGCTTCTTTCCCCCATGTTTTTGTCTGTGGTTTGTTGTCCAGATTTTTTCTTGCTACGAAACCCCAGATAAGTGACGAAACAACAAGGAAAACAAATTCGTCCGCCCTCACCCTTCAGAATTTCTTATATATCCCTATGGTTGTATAAACAGTCAAAAGATAACCAAAGTTTAGCGAGAAGAACTTGTAGAATATCTGAAGGGTTAACTTTGGGTTACACATCAATTTTATATCTTTTATATGTTATACACACTGTTTTTTTAAATCCATTTTCAAATTTCACTTATAATTCATGTAGCATTCCCTATACCTACAAAGAGCAGGTAGTAAGAACTTTTTTTGTCGAAAAAATAAATAAAAAACAGAAATTTAATTTTGAAATGAACAGGTAAATGGCTAGTACCAGTAAAGCACTTAAATCGTCACAATTACATTTATGACAGTAATTAAAGTAAATATACCGTACCTAAATGAAACTCGAGACAATTTAAATATTTATTTTTATTGGATATGGAGACAAAACGAGAAGTTTGTAATTTGTTTAACGTTAAATTATCCAGAAAGACCTATTACAAGATCCATTGAGAGTAAAATTAAGAGAAAATTTATTATTATTTAATATTGCGTCAAAGAAATCATTTTTTACGTGTTGAAAATGGCCATCTTAAATTCTTGACAATACTCTAATAGGTTTAAAAATCCTCCAAGACATTCATTAATTTGCCTTATTTCGTATCTAATTCTAAATGTTAAATCATTTTTTTTGCCTTTTCCTTACGCATTTTTGATTTTAAAGAAGAAAAAATCCGGTGAAATAATATCTAGAGATATATTGATCCCTTCTACCAATCCACTGTCCGGGAAATATCGTATATAAATTTTAGCGCGGTTGCCAAACAAAATGGGGCGAAGCACCTTCCTGTTGTAACCAAATCTGCCTATTTGGCATATAATTATAATTTTCACGTGGGAAAAAACTGCGAGAGCAAGTCATTTTGAAGAAATTGTAAATGCCTTTTTCCAAGAAAATTTTGATCGAAGAAATACCGTCCAATAATGTCCTGTCAAACATTCCATCCGTCCGAAATTATTTGCCTTCCAATACCTACAATTTTGTTTATTTAACGTACCATTTAAACGAAACGTGGCTTTATCACTTTTATTGAAATCCAATACTTGATTTTTAAATGAATATGTTTCATATTTTTGCCGATCACAATAAAATGTTGCACAAAATTCCAACCTCAATCGAAAATGTTACACAAACCAATCCAAATTCTATGATCAATGTTATTTTTATTAAAATCATGTCCTATTTTCAAACAAAAACTTTTTTCTCTGTCGCTTAAAGCATCCATCGGTTTACATTATTACTATGTGTAAGTATGTTCTTACGAGCTTGTCTTTGACTTTATTAAAATTCAGCTTTACTAAAATTTTTGCTTTTACGCAGGCTGACCACCAGTACAGCATTGGCCGCCACGAGTTCAAGTTTTTCCGACCACGTCCTGGAAAATCTACTCGTCCTGGATTGTCCCAGATTTTTCAATATTGTATTTCCCATTTATTTATTTGTTATTATTTATTTACAAATTATAATTCCGTAGAAACATATATAGCTGAGTACTTTTTACAAAACTTCTGGATTCCTCCTGCGTCGGTTTTTGCTGTGTCGAACTTGCTGACGTTTCGCCAATCATCCTGTTGGCTTCTTCAGAGCTTGACTGAAACTGGTTCATATTTCACTCTGTACCTGCTTATATATTGCTTGAGTGGGGCGGAGCTAAATGAGGGGCATAAACACCATCTCGGATAACTGATTCCCATATTGGTGACAGGTAGAGACCTGAGTCGCGGTTAACATTGTTAGGTTGTTTATAGATTTCTATAGACTCTCGGATTTTTCATTGGTAATACTAATAACTGATTACACGCAAGAATTTTAGTGTTATCGAATAAAATTTTGTATCCGGTTTCATGAGTGTGTTCGGCATCAGCTGATGAGTTTATTTGTCTTAGTCGTAAGGCTCTTTCGTGTTCTTTGAGTCTAGTTGATATTTTTCGTCCGGTCTCTCCAATGTCTTCTTTGCCGCATATGCCTGGAATGCTGCAAACTCCTGGCATCTCAAATGGAATTTTATCTTTGACGGATCGAAGATGTTGAGAGATTTTTGGGCAAGTGGTAAATCTGGTTTTGCCGTTATACTTCTCTAGAACTTTTGATATGTGGTCAGTGATGTTTTGAATGTAAGGAAGGACCACAGTGGCAAGTGTAGGATTGCTTTCGGACTCATTGCTATTGGAAGGTTGTCTTGAAGTGTATTTTATGATGGAAGGCTTAATATACTTAATGTGGGAATTGTTAGAGAGAAGAGCAGAGGTAAGGTGTTTTAATTCTGGGTTCAGTGACCCGGGCTGAGATAGTTTTGCGGCTCTGTAAACAAAGAGTTGATAACCGAGGATTTTTGGGCCGGATGGTGATGTGACCATGCAATAAGGTATCGGTCTGTGTGCATAGGTTTTCTGTAAACACAATGACCCAACGTTAGGTCTGATTTTCTATTGATAAAAATATCTAAGAATGAAAGGTTAGTAGTTTCCAACTCACTGGTAAAACGTATGTTAGGGTGTATAAAGTTTAAATGGAAGTTTCTTTGAAAAAAGTATATAGTTGAGTTTTACTTGACAGCCGAGCAATACCTCTCACAATAGGAAACTTCATCTTCTCAAATGATGGATACATTTATATGGGTATTACTTCAACACATACCACGTTACCCAAAAATTCAACCCGCAATAAAAAAAAATTGAACAAATGAAGATAAACTATTTGACGAAATATTTGAAATAAAGGAATTTGTAACCAAACAAAAGTTGGAACATTGGCAAGCTAATGATATTAATGTTTGTAGCCGATGGCTTGAAGTTGTTGATAATTGTACAAAAAAGTAGCTGGGGTTCAAAAACATATCTTTGATAGTTGAGTTTGAACTCTGTCTACCCGGTACTAATACAGAAGAAGAAAGAGTGTTTTCAATTATAAACAACTTTTTGAGTAGCTGAAAAAGTCAACTTCCTGTAAGCACTTCGAAATCAGCCATGATTACAAGGTGCAACGGGAATTTAAGTTGTTTGGAGTTTTACAAATTCCTTTTAAAAAATGAGATAAAAGTTTTTTATACAAAGATAATAAATAAAAAAAAATGTATTTTGTTTTTATTTCTTCAGGAGTTAACGCTCTACGTTCATTTTTGTCAAAAACTCTTCAAACCAAAAAAAAAGGTTTAAACTAAGGCATATGCAATACCACAATTATTTACAATAATTATTTAATTAATTTTTTTAAATTTGATTGAATAAAAGTTTAAAATTTTTCCCTTCTATGCTATTGAAAAAATGTACACTGCCATTTTTAGACCTATAATTTAAATTAAATTAAGTTCAACTTTAGCAAAGGCTCAAATATTTTAAACTCCTACATATATCAATTTGTATATGCATTTTTCGAAGCTTTTTTTTTTAATTTGGATTATTATAAATTTTTCTACAAATATTTGAAGAAAATATTATTTGGTCAAATAACAATGAGTAAATAATCTCATTAAGAATATATCGGCAAATAAAGTAATTAAACAAGGAGAACAAACCACTTTTCCATTTATATTATATTAATGAGCAAGAGAAAGATAATGATCCCCATTTTACCCTATTCGGTTGCCTCCGGTTTCTATCATAGGTGTGCGCCTGCCCTAAACGATTTTTTCCATCCTAGTGAAACATAATATTTCAACACAAATATTATTGTTAAATTAATATTATAGGGGGAGTATATATGCAACCAATTATACGGTGTATTTGTATTTTCTTCTGATGATTGCAAAAAACAGATTTACGTTGTTTGCCTGCGAATCAACGCGCAACTCACTATATTAAGTTATATTCTAATCAATTTGTAATTAAGTTGTAAGGTGGAAAGGTTTCCACTTGGACTAACGGATGTTTCCATAGGAACGAATAAACGAACGCGTAAAACTATACTTATCCATCAGTGCCATATTAAAGTAGTAGTTTAGTATCAGCTTAAATCGAAATCAAAAATTATTACGGTGTAATATCTACCGAAAACATGTCCAGCCACCACAAAATAATTGCTGACCGCTCAAGGTCCACTTTAAAGGAGGTTCCGAAAGAAGTGCTCGAAATGAGCAACCTGAAAATGCTTTTCTTGGAAGGCAACTTGCTGACCAAACTGCCCGATGATTTCTTTCACTGCTTACCCAACATTGTTTGGTTGGATTTGAGGAATAACATGCTGGAATGTTTGCCGCGGAGTGTCAAAAACCACAGATATTTGGAGAATTTATTACTGTCGAACAATAACATTCAAAAATTGCCCAACGAATTGGGTAAGACCGCCGGTGCAATCTATCGTGGTAATCCCTCACATAATTCGGAAACTTTAGGTTTAGTTCCAAATTTAAAAGCTCTCCAACTGGCAGACAATCCGTTAATCTATCCCGCGAAGAGAATAATCCAAGAAGGCACGCGAGCGGTGAAGAAATACCTAAGAGAGCAATACGATATCAACAGTCACAAGTCGCCACCGAATAATAGCAAAAGTGTAAGTTTGGAGGAACGAGAAGAAAGGGTACTCAAAGTCGTTGATGAGTTTTCAAACGCCTCTATGGATAAGAGTAGACTTTCGGTCGCTAGGGGTCGTGGTGAGACGACGTTAAATTTAGCGCCAATGAACTATTTTTACTCTTACAGAAAGTAATCAATCCAGGGAATCTACGAAGTTCAGTCAGAAAAAAAATTTAAGCAAATTGGCTAAAAAACTTTCCGACCCGAAACTACTCACTCCGACGCTACGAGTAAAAAAACTGGATTATCCTAGAAGAAAGAAGGAAGAACCGTTAAAAATAGTCCATAGGATCAACAAAAGCGAAACCAAGATATCTTTAAAATCGTATTTTACCAAATCTGGAATTAGAGATGCTCTCGAGCGAATTCCGGAAAAGACGCTCAAAGAGGGTTGGCTAAATAAACTGAGAATATTGCTAAACGATCAGGAAAGAATTCTCCAACAAGAGAGGTAGTCGGTTCATGTAAAGTTGCGTTTCCCGCCATTTCAATTTTCAGAAATTTAAGAGCGTTGAGTTCGTGGAGGTACCAAACGAAAAACGAAACTCCAAAAACATTTTACGATAAGCGTTCGGATAGCAAACCCGAACCTCCGTATGCTGTTTATCCTGGTTAATATATTGTGAATGAGAGCAGGACAGAAGCGGCAAATTTTTGTTCATCTTTCAGAGTACTCAAAAATTCCAAGCAGGGCCGAGTTGACTAGTCAGCTTCAACTTTTTTTGAAAAACACCCACCAAACGCATAGCAAATCGTCATCGGCGATAGATATGGACAAGCTTATAAACGATCTGGTAGAGCAGCTCAAAGAGATGGAGATGACTGTAGGAGATAAAACGTCTCCCAATTCGGAATTGGAACAGACCAGCCAACAAATTCGAACGGTGAGTCTAATATATATTGCGTTTTTAATATATATAGTTCAAGAAAATAAAATCTATTTTCAAGATTCGTAACATCAGGTTCACAAATATAAATATTTATTTTAAGTGTAAATTGAAAATAAATAATCTACATTTTCTTAAATATTTGTTTCAACACTTCAAAAAGAAAATGTGACCTTACCATAAAATTCATAGAAAGACCCCACTCATAAATGCTATTCTAGTCGATGCTTAATTATTCTAATTGACGTCACAGTTAAGATATACAGTTGAATAAAACTTGATACTCGGTATTCACTTCTAAAGAAGAATTTGTTCCCGCAATGTAGCATATTAGAGAACCAAAAGAAATTTTGCGTACTCCATGAAAACTTGGAATCAAATAGTACAACTACTTTGAAGAGTTCAACATCAGGTTGCAAAATATTATAATTTTTTATTTGAAAAAAGGAAAATTTGAAGTAAAATTTTTTTTTATTCTTTAAAAAATACGACTGTCTCTCGATTCTTTCGAAATCGGTAGGTAAACTTCAAACCAAAAATATGACGGTACTATAAAATTTGTCATAAATTAAAAAGAGATTGCACATGGAATTAAATACTTAAGTCAGACTATTTTAATCTATATTTCACTGCACTCCTTCATAGATTCTTTTAATGAAAAAAAAAGTAAATTTAAAGTAAAAATTTAGGTTTTTGAACTTGTTTCCTTTAAAATTGGTAAACCTCCAACCGAAAATGTGGCGTTACTTTAAAATTCGTCATGGATCATAGAAGGATTTTAGAGGGAAATCGTTTCTTCTCTCATACACTATATTCTAAACTACGCTTTACTATTCTCGCCTTCTGAAAATCATATAAAGATCATTGACGTCACATATTTTATAGGGTCTGGAAAAAAACGAATAGTATCTAAACCAAAAATGTTTATTATGATTATATGATACTCGGTAGTCAGTTGGTAGAAGAACGATAATTATATGTTACTTAACAAATGTTGAATGCGCCGTTCATAGCTTATTAATTAGACGGAGTGCGTTCAACAAAAAATGCAACAAAATAACAATATTTGAGGTTGTGCTGGGGTCGTTCGACAAATTTTGATCAGCTTGTAGTTGACACAAGCCGTTCACGTAGTACGGAAGCCTAACCACAGAAACTTGTACGTCACAAATGTGTTGTGAAATTTTTCTTTCTAGATCACGGAGATCCACAACAAGCTTCTGAAACTGCGATCGGCAAACTGCTACACGTAAATGTGAAAAAAAAAACAATTAAATAAAACCAATTCGATAAAATTTGTCAATTTATTCTACACGAATTAGTAAATTATAACCACAACGTGTCTGCATAATATGTATATATCACTTTATAAAATGAGTTAAATAAAATGTGTACTTAATATAAAGTAAATAATTAACTTCAAGATCACAAAAATCATTGGCCTCGCCCCAATCACCGTTCCTACATTATATCATCGCTATCACCGCCAGTAAACGCAAGCTTCTATACGTTTTCACCGAACACCGACAATATAACATAGGAATCAAACTCTATGCTTCAAATTTCTAATACAAAACAACAAAATAGTCAGTCTGAGATTAAGATTTTCCAATGATTGTGGTTTAACAATTAGAACGTACGTCCCATCACAATTTTCCCTTTAATGGCCTCGTGCGTATTTTCGATGAATCCCAGTTTTCCGTAAAACGCATGCGTGTAGCTATCGGACGCGTTCATGACGACGTGAACACCAAACGAACCTAAAAAAAAAATGGCTTATCTTGAAGATTTTATACACTACGCAAATATTATAATCGTTAAACAAAAACCTATACTGAAAAATGACTCTTTTAAAAAACTGGGTCCTTTGGTCCTTCGAGCCGGATCATTTTTCTATTAGAATTATAATTTTGTGTAGTTGTAGCAATGTCGTCCTTGACCGTGCCCTTGTTTTTGATACATCTCCTGAAGAATGTGTTTATTGGTCTCTCTACAATTCAGGTCGCGTCACTTTCGAATATTTAGTCAAGTGGGCTTTTCTTTGTATCCTTTTTATCTGGTGGATTTTTTAATAAGGTTCAACACTTGGTAACTTTACCAACTAATTTGTTATAATCATGTCCGACAAGCTTAAAAAGGCTAAACTTCATAGAAGAAGCGAAATAAGTCGTTTTTTAACTTGCAAAATTAACTGAAACGGGTCCAAATAGCCCAATTTTATTTGAAATGCGTTATAAATAAATAAGATTTCGTTAAAGGGGAATTTTTCAAACTACACAGTAATATTCTTCCGTTGAGTGTCGATCACGGCACAGAATTTTCGGTTCGGGATAAAATTAGAAAATAACTATATAACTATTATTAACTATTATAATTATAATAACTATTATTACATGAAATCCGTATTCCATCGATTAAGTGTTAATCCTGGTAGTACAAATTTAAATAAATTTTCATTTATTATTGATTTAAGAAATAAAAAGTGTGTTAAGAATTCTTTTATATTTGCTTGTTCTTAATAATTTCTGAAAAACTGTCGACGTGTTTGTGAGGAAAATCGGCACTTGCATTATTTTAAGATGGAAAATTCAAATTTGATATTAGTTTCGCATTTTATTAGAGAAGCTAATAAAAATATAGCCGTTGCAGATGTTTTTTTTTTAAATACAGTCACTAAGTAACTCATTTTTCTTCTCTAAAAATCTCTGCCAAACTGCCAATTATTAACCAGTTGTTGATTTATTTATTGTTAACTCACTTTTTTTCTGGAACATATTTCCCAGTTTTGCCCGGTTTGTCTAGTCTAGTCATTCATTGCTTTACTTTTAAAAATTTTTCTTCGAAGAGTTAAATTTATTTATTTACATTTATTATGGTACAATTTCCTTGTCGATTATCAGCATTCTTTTAACCAGCGGTTTTTGTAAACTATGGTTATAGTCAATATATAATTTGAGTATTTTACTATAATGAGCAAAAATTTTAAAGTATCAGAAGGGACGTCAGATGCTTAGGGCCGTTTGACATTTCGAACTTGGACCCATTTGTTTCCAAATATTAATTAAACAGTTATTTAAAAAAAACTATGGTGGCATAGCACACTAACCTGAAACCTTTGACATTTCCAAGCATATAATGTGACTGCCTGATCCAAATAATAAAAAAATATGTTCTACCTTTGGTTATATTAAACTCAACCAAGAATAATGGTTGCACTCTAAGCAATACCAACAACGTCACACTAAGAAACTAAATATTTTTCTATTTTTACTGACCATTTGCCCTTAACGCGGCCAGCAGGCACGTCACCAATCTTTTACTAATCGATTGATCGATAACGGAAGGCAAAATGCTGCAGATCATGCTAGAAGGGTGGGTGGGACTGCTGACGTAAACTTCGTCTTTGAAATTGTAAAAATGGGAAATGCAATCCTAAAACATTTAAGCGGTGAGGCGTTGTTATTTCAGTTAATTCACATCTGTCTCACTTGAACCTCTTTGCAGGCGTCTTTCGCCAAATGCTCCGGGTATTTTTCGCACATTTCCGGTATCCACGCCAACTCTTGTTTTATCCTAAACTTTTTGTAATCGGGTGCGGCGCATACGTAACCTACAACTTCGGTATCGTCCTGTCGGCGAAAGGATCGGTAGAAAAACGGTCAACAAAAATTGTACCCAAGTCGTTACCTCGACCACGAAACAAAATTCCGGGTGCAAAATTAGATAGGGACCGACTATCCTGTCCGCTTGTATGTTGGCCAGTTCGGGAGGATAAGGATGAGGATCTACCAGACCTTCCTTGCATGTGCGTGTGCACACACTGTATACTTGCTTTTCGTCAGTCGGTAAGTAAGGTCGGATTGTGTACACTCGATTCGTCGGCACGTCCGGAACTTTGTACACGAACAGGTCGTTTCCGGAGTCGACCGGAATTAGGCGCTAAAAAATTTTTAAATTTTTGTATTTCTCTTATTCCTTTTCGGTGTTTCGTTTTCGAATAAAACCAGAAAACATTAAAGGAAGAATTTTTATTTCTGAAGTCAATAAAAACCTGAAACCTTTAAAAATTTCATTTTTGTAATTATATATATTTCTTACTAATATATATTTTAGTAATTACATATATTATTTCATTTTAGTAATGAATAAAGTAACATTAAAAGTAAGGTTGCATACAAAAGTTACAAAAATAGAATAAAGGGGTTGCATAAAAAAAACAGTAATTATAAGAATGCATTGCAAGTACATATGTATCCAAATAGTCACCATAGAAAGAAGAAAAAAAATATTTATATGATATTCGAAAATCAACAAAATGAATAAGATCGTTCGCATAATTTTTGAAAAAAGTCCTCCGAACATACATTCGGCTTCTAAAATTTAAATACTCCAAACTTGTCCTATTGCAAATTACAAATATAACAGGTGTCCTTTATCAGATAACTTTAGATATGTGGTGCAAAACATCTTGGCTGATGATATAAAAATTTTCACATTATAGTCCCCGTCATTGTGGAAAATAATCTATTCTGATTGACAATGATAACTGAGAAATAAGAGATAAATAAATCTGACAATGACTACAATCAATTCGTAACAAACAGACATGAGTGATAAAATTTTTACCTTTTTATCTTCAAAATGAAATATTGTTTGCTTGAAAATTGAAAGGAACAAAAAATTTTTTCTAGACGGTATGTACACCCGAATTTGATGAAACTCTAGCAACTAGCAACTTGGTGTAATTATAATGGTCAAGTTTGATGCCATTATTCCATATTTGCTTAAATTAGGAGCAGCACAACAATGATTGTATTGTATTCTGTACTAACTTTTCCAAACACATATTCACTGAAATATGGTTTGGAAGTAAAGCAAGTCATAAAATTGATTATTCTCTATGAGCTTGCGAATGCTAATACTAATGACGCTAATGACGGAGTATTCGACATTATCACATAGTTAGACCAAGACAAGTTAGACCTTTCCAACTTCAAATATTTTATCATTCCAAAAGATGGCGCCCCACACACAAACAATAAACAACTATTGTGACTTACCTGGAGATCTGCGGTCAATCCCCCGCGAAACACCCACGGTTCCTGGTCGCCGGACATAAAGGTCTCCTTCCACCCCTTCGAAAACCCTGAACAACACACAAGTTTCAGCTTTATACTTCATCGACTAAAAACGCAAAGCACTCGCGGTCGCCTCTACGCATCGCCAAATTGATCTAACTTTACGCAACGCGCATAAAGTACTTACCCCGATATCACGTACCGTTAAAAAGTTATACTTAAATACCAGAAATTTTTTTCCACTACATAATTTAAATTTACTAACAAACGTTAAACTATGTAGGCGAATTATGAAAATTTATGATTTTTAAAACTAATTTCGCAAACATCATTTTTTACGCCAAAGCAAAGGAACAAATTTTACGCATATATGGACAGCGACTCGTCAGCATCATATACTAAATCCTTGGACGATGCATACATGTGTACGTCCCCTGTGTGTACGACGGCATCGACGGGGGAAACTGGCCATTGGCTTTAGAAAAACAATTGATGAATTAATAGGATGAAATAATACTCTACGAAAACGATTCAAAGATCACATCTTTGGTGAGCACCATGCATTTTGTTTGCAAACTCCACTAAACTCCACTGTTGTGCCAAATTCAACATTTTCAATTTATATCCCAAAATCGATAAGTACAAATGCTGAAGAAATCGAAAATGAGATTATTTACTACGCAAGTGAGCCTGCGCCATTAATTTTTTAATTAATACACTAAATGCGGCCGCAAACTGTTCTTTTCTTTATTCACTATTACTATTTTAGAACGCATGGATTTTATAATGTGATCTTGGAATTTTTTACTGGAATTATAATGTTTTACGTTAACTAACATATAAGCAAAGGGGGACAGCTCTTTCACATCAATAATTACAGTTGACAAATAAACGAACCAAATTTGGTCGTTTATTTGTCAAGCGCTCACAAAAAAGACAACTGCTATTGTAGTAGTTAAAATTTTAGATGTCAAGGTGAAGATGAACAATTCTAATAATTTTTTGTTAAACGAATCTTTATTTCATATTTTAAGTTAATGTATCTTGTTAAGTTGTCAACCACTGACCTATGTTTAACGATAACTGCGCTTGTTTCCCATTTGCCTAAAAATCAAATCTACGGCGAATGTTATATTTTTCACTCTGAAAAATTGCCTTTTTTTAAGCGCTAATTTATTTCTACACAGACATTTAGATCACATTTTTTTTATGGATTTGTTTGTTATGGATTTATTTGTTATTTAGTGCTAACTGTAGTCTTATGTGTACAGAGTTAACTACAAAACCAATAAATACTCATTATTTTAAACAGAAACACAACTAATTTTAAAATTAAAAATTAGTTTTTATTTGTTGAATTTATGGAAAATAAAGCTAAAGGATAATGAACAAGATCACAATGAACATATAAAAAAGATTTAAATGCCAAAGTTTCAAAACCTATGAAAGTTAGATATTTAAAAGAAAGGGTTTGAAATGATCTTACGTCAATGGAAGTAGTAAAAAACAACAAATAATAAAATATTCATATTTTATTTTATTAGTTATATAACAAAATTACTGAACTTCATCTAAATGCAAAAGAGAGATACGTAAACATAAAAATCATTTTTTAATTTTTTCTTATATAACACTTGTCATCTAATATACTTATAACATAATTAATATAATTAACTGACTCATTTCTCACATTTAAAAATAATTTAATTTTGTTTAATTAATGGAACCAAAAAATAGGATCCACTTTTCCCTGTTTATGTTCTTCTTCCCTTTCCTACAGCTCCTGCTATGTTATTTATCAATTATATAAATTATTACCTTTTCAGAACAATAGTTCTGAACTGGTTTATATCGTTCTTAACAAATCGTACGCAGTATGTTAAAATAATTTAGGAAAAGGACAACTTGGGCCAAATTAAAAAATTTCAAGTTCAATCGGTCGATAGAGGCACACCGCAAGCGACAGTGCGTGGCCCAGTTTTATTTATCCTTTTTATCAATGAACTTTCTGCTTACCTGCCTAGTTTGAGTTTATCAGAGTTCAGTGACGACTGTTCAAGTTTAATCTCTTCACACTGTTATCACACTCTTGAAGACAGAATTCATTCAGCACTTGTACTGCTAAATAGCTGCTTTAACACTAATGAACTCTTTTTGAATGTTCCAAAAACAAGTATACTGATATTCAAATGCCCACAACACAAAAAAGAACCTTTCCGTGAATGTCCACTCGGCGGGAGGCCGTTGAAATAAAAAAGCACTCTAAATGTTTAGGACTACAACTCGACGAAACCCTATCTTGAGAAACTCAATGCCAATTACTTTCTTCAAAGTTGCACACTTATTGTTTCCTAATAAAAAATTCAAAAACTGTTTTGAATGGGAAATGCATGATAAAAATGCTCACATCCATTCGAGATTACTCTATGGTATTCCCCTTTGGTAAAAATTTAAGTTATGCAATATCTGTTTTCAAATCCCAAAAGGATAGTTCGTGCAGGCCCCTAGTCAGGGAGTTTAAAATACGTATATTAAAAGTTTGTTTATGGGTATATAAAATAAATAACTTCAAAAAAAAAGATTTTAAAGACTATAATACAAGTAACAAGGGCTGTTTCTCCATTGAAAAAAAGAGTAGACTAGAATTTTCAAAAAAAAATTACTAACACCACAAAGAGTAGCAGCAGTGATTTAGACGTTTTTAAATCCAAACTAATTTTTTTTTCTTCTACAAAACTGTTTTTATAATTTAAATGAATATTTTACTTACTAATGTTTGTTATCACTGTATTGTTGTGCTCTGTCACATATTTCTATTATATACATTTTTAATTTAGTTTTCTGCCTCATTCGCAGGATCTACATTGTGTACCTAATTTTCACCTACTTGACGAAATCCATAATATACTGAATGTATTCTAAATATGTGGATTAATAAAGATATTATTATTATTATGTCGGAGCTTGAATTCTATTTTGTGCGTATACGATAAATAATGAAAGTTATTATTATTGTTGTTGTTTGTCTAAAAAGTGTATTAGAATATTTTCGGTACGAAAATTTTAAACATGTAACAAAACACAAAACCAAAAAAAAAATTGCTTTCATTTTGTACTATCGGGAAAAAGGTGTAAATATAACATTTGCCTTTTCTATACATACAGGTTATGTACTTTTGCTACACAAGAGTTATTCTGAAACGTGCATCCGCGAAAAGCCTGGCCAAAATACCCATATAAACCTTTTGCGTTGAATACAAACACATATTTTACGCAAGCGGCGTGCACACAAGCCTCGATAACAAAACCATCTTCTTGCAGCGTTGGGCCGAGCATGTCACTGAAAAATAAACCGCAAAACGGGCTACGCACCGCGCGAATTCCTAAAAATATCGCAAAACGGCGGAAAAACTGGACGCTTATCACCTTTACGCAAAAAGCAGCGAACGCAACAGGTTTATTTGTTTTCTTGACAACTTTTTTTATTTTGCTTGTTTGAGTATGCATTTTTGCGGCGATATGATGCACGTTCCCCGTAAACGCCCACGATTTTCGAAAACGACCCTTTTGCCCGAACTTACCGAGCCATTTGACGTACGAGTTCAGCAGGGATATAACTCCACGGATATCCCAAATATAGGAATAGAGATCGTATAACAACTCTCTGTTGTTGCAAGAAGACATGTGTTGAAATAACTTATTGACGGCCTGCGTCATTTCGTTCAACTTTTCGGCCCTCGAGAACCATTCTTGCGCCTAAAAAAAAAACACAAATATATGAAATGCACGTCAACCCCACCAATTGAACTGTCATCGATTATGTGAGGCGAATTTTATTTAGAGTGACACGGGTACTAATGAGGATTGTTTTCTTTGTCCCACAGGTTAGCACTAACACAACTGCAAGAAGAGAGAGAACTTTATAATTCTCACACTTTTTAAAATCATTTAAATCGTTGATCCTTCTCTGAACTCTGTCATGTTTTGAAAACCTTTAAAGGCGACAATTTCATACAAATGTAAATTAATAAACATTTTTTATAACACTAAATACTTGCACTGCATATGATTGCAGTAAATAATAATTCATCGGGTTATTATATAAATAAAAAATATTAATATAATTATGCAAATAAAGTATTTCGACATAATTACGAAAAAATGTTAATTTGTAAAATTTATGTTTTTATTTAGTGTTATTTAGAAATATAAATGAGTAATTTGTTATTCTTTATTTATTGATTTAGTTAATTAATTAATTAATTATTAGATCTATTTGGGCCTTTTAAGGCAAAGTCGCTTTTTAACGGGTACTTTACAAAATCATTTAAACCGTTGATCCTTCTCCGAACTAAGTGGTTCTGATATATCTTAAATACTTTTAAAGGCGGCAATTGCATCCCAATGTAAATTAATAAACATTTTTTAAAATGCTAAATTTTTGCATTGTAAATAATAACTCATCGAGTTATTATATAAATATGATTATGCAAATAAAGTATTTCAAAGTAATTACGAAAAATTGTTAATTTGTACAATATGTATTTCCATTTAGTGTTATTTAGAAACATAAATCAGCAATTTAGTTTGATTTAGTTAATTAATTAATTCTCAGATCTATTTGGGTCTTTTGAGGCTAAGCGTTTTTTAACGGGTATTTTGTAAAATCATTTAAATCGTTGATCGTTGTCCGAACTAAGTGGTCCCCACATATTTTGACTACTTTTAAAGGTGCAAATTCTAATGTAAATGTAATGTAAATTCTTGTATTGCATATGAATGAATGAATGAATAAATAAAAATATAAATATGATTATGCAAATAACGTATTTCTACGCAATTAAGAAAAATTGTTAATTTCACTTTATCATTTGCATGAATGACAATGTATTCTTTACTTATTGATTTAGTTGTTAGTTGTACGGAGTTATTTGTTACAAAAATTGACAAACAAAATTTACAAGTTTTCCCGTTTTCAAAAATTTAAAAATAAATATATAAAAATATATAAAAAATAATACTCATATAGATTAATACTTGGAATTTCTAAATACATGAATTTATATGTGGTTTTATTCGTTTTTTAAGAAAATTTTAATCACCAAATAATAATATGTAACTAATTTCACTAAAAATATATTGGTAAGTAAAGTAATCAAACATACCACTACATTTATCCATTTATTTACATGATCAAGAAAAAACAAATCTCATTAGCAGCCGTGTTTTTTAAATTTGCCTTTTTTTCTTTTCTTTTCTATTGTCACTTCAATCTAGATGGAATTTATTAGTTTCCATTTTACAAATCTTTACCTCAGGGGTTTTATCTTTGTTTTGATTCGCAGCTATAACGACGTGAGCGTTCGACTTCAGCCAATTAAACTCCTGCAGCAACTGTAGTGCTTGGCTGCCATGTTCAAAAGGAAGGTAAAATAAATCGCACAACAGCGACAAGTCCTCATAAGTCAACTCGTGGCCTTTTCTAAAACGCAATCAACAAATGCATGTTATAAACATTGAAACGTTATACTAAAATACAACAGCCACTACCAAATTTCGAGTTTACTGAAAATTTTCAGGAGGAAAAACCAGTCTACTTAGCTGGATACATCCAATGACGTATTTTTTGCGTCAATTGTACCGACAATTCAAAAGTTAATTGACCTAAATAATTTTTAGAATACAATAAAATTTATATTTATTTATTTATGTTCTGCGTTACGTCGCGGTGGCGTCATTCTGGGAACCAAATGGAGTCGATATTATTATTGGGATTCCCCGAATGGCTTAATATCGTATTCGGGTATTTCTAAAAGAGGTCAATTGGGCATCACAAACGCATAATAATTTATAATAAAATACATATTATTATTAAATAATTGGAGGTTATACTTTACAATTGCAAGATGCTACTTAAAATATTTTTTGAGTAGTCAATTAAGAAGTGGTCAACTGACCAGTCCCAACACTAAACAAAATGCCTAAAAACTGCCAGCAATAAAACCACATTCCACTTAATATTACCTAAAACCCGCAATGGAGAAGATAAGAATGGTTCCTAGTTATCCAACAAAACAAAACCATTGATTAATTTTGGAAAAATAGTAGAATAGACTAGAATATTGATTTGTAGGAAGAGATACTGATAAGGCATGAGATAAGACGGGAAAACTGTCAAAATAGATGAATGTATTTCCAAGTACAAATTGACTTACAACTTAACCAAATGAGGCTTCAGCAGGATTAAAATTTTCAATTTATAAAACAGCATTGATGGACATGGTAACCTTTTATTTCACTCTTGAATAATTTCATAGTGAGTCGTGATCTGTGTGATTTTATCCCCTGCACCACTCTTGTACTATAATTATGAAAGTTATTTTTTTTTATGTTTTTAAAAAGGGAGCGACAGTGTCATGGTTAAATAGGTTGTTGCACAATAAAAACTACTGAACTCCACTGCATTACAATTAACAACGTAACAATCCCACCTTAATATGTTATTTCCCTTTTTTTATTTGTTGGTGTTATTTTTGTGTAACCCAAAGAAAACTTTTTCCACGGTCATGAAAAGAATTATCCCCTATCAATATTATCCGATAATAATAACAAAAAGCAGTTTTTAACCTGCAATATTACAAATAGAACATATAATATGATATAACACGCAAATATAAATTGCAAAATAAGAGTAACATACCTATCACTATCTGCTTGATTTTCCACTATCATCTGACTAGTTTCGGCAGTACTCTCCACTTGCATAGAGCCACTGGAAGTCTAAAATATTTTAAAAAATTCGCCTCTCATTTTTTCTGGCACTTAATCATAAAATAATTTGCCCCGGACTCACCGAATTTTCGCTCATTGCGACGTCCTCAGTCGACTCGCTGGGAACCTTTAAACCGTGAGCCGGAGATATATTCGGAGTACTATTGCAATCCATAGGTTCCAATGGACTCAGACTAGACTCGTTACTTATACTGGGGTCCGTGTTCATGACGCATTCATCTTTAGTTTCTTTTGGAGGTACAGCTGAAGCGCCCCCATTCACAATTTGGCAGTTTCCACTTTTATTTTTGTCCGGTTTTACTATGACCCCGTTTAGGATAGTGATGCTCTTGTTTTTGTCATCACTGAGGGCTACTGGTATTGGTACAGGAGCAATAGGATTAGGAATAGATTCATTGCATACGACTTTCGTTTCAGACACTAATGAGTTCATCACGGGACCTGGTGTGGGGTTAAAACTGGTCTCGGTTACAGATGATACCTAACAGGAACATTGAAAAGATTATATAATGTTTGCTGTATTGTAACCGCTTACTGTGCTGCAGACTTCAGCGAGAGCCTGTAATTGATTAGAAGACACAATAGGTTGGGTCACTGCTGATGTGGTGGTCGTGGTCCCTGTAGTGAGACTCATACAGGTATTGATTGAGGGTATTATTGGCACGGGAACAACTAAAACATTAATTGATTAATTGGTTCTATGATTCTTACCCATCTATAGTATAAGGTTTCTCTAACAGGTTTGCACTTGGAACTAGAGAAATTCTGACCCATTGCAACTTGGTCACATTACAGAATACCAGAGTATATCTGGATATTGGTTTCTTTTTTAACATTAACAAAACCTGAAATACTAGGCACTATAAATTTTATGTTCCACCTAGAGATCTTAGAATGTCTCCTCTCCTCTTATGGGGATTTTAATAGTAGCCATTATCATAACATGGCTTACAGTAGAATAGACAATGAGTATCCAGATGTAGATTATTTCAGTAAAATTCTTTAAAGTCTGAACAGAAGTCTCCAATCTTCAACTAATCTGTGATGTTTGTGTGCTTACTACTTTTGAATTTAATTTTATATCTATATTTTATATTTACATAATTGTTTTTATACATATTAATTTTAGTTCTATTGTCAGTCATCACCTTCACTATGCAGTAAATAAATAAAGAACTTAATAGCATATCACTGTAACACATGCAAAAAGGCAAAAAATAAAATTGAAAAAAAAAGGCTATTAACAATAAATATGTAATATAAAATAGTTCTTACTTGCTACTGCAGGCTGTGGTTTAGCAATTGGTCCCCAAGCATTTTTATGTTTGCCAAACTCTGGCAACCAATCATTGATGGCATTTTTCAGAGCTTGTTTGGGGTGATACATATTAGGTGGAAGAGTAGCAGGCACGTCCTCCCCTGTCACACCATCTTCAGTTTCAGTTTCTAATTTAATATCGGCAGAAACTGAGTCATCTAAAAAAAATTACAAGAAGCATTTTCTATAAGCAAAATAAATCTCTTGTACTCAATGTAAGATCCCTTTGCCCATCCAAATTGCATCTCGACCACTGTGCCAAAGTATGTATGGCAACAAAATTGGCTCCATATTCACAGTTAGGGTTGGTCAACACCCCTCGTAGTTTGGGAATTAAATCTGGAGATCTTCCTGAATAAGGCCCAAGAAAGACTCGCTTTTGGTCATAATCATTTGCATGCAAATTATCCCAAATTACTGGTGCCCTTCTTAATACTTCTGTTATTTCTTGCAAATTTTCTTTAGTTAAAACCCTTGAAATCACCTTTTGGCCTAAAAGAGTGTAACCTTTATAACTTCAAAAACCAGAAATAGAAAAATAAGTTGTGATGATAAAATTGGGATTTATCATTTCATCTCACCTGTCCACATGATGTCAATTTCATGAGCTAATTTTGATCCCAAGGTATTTAAATACTCAGAATTAGTAACATTAGGCACCGCCCTTGTTGAACAGTACTGTGTTGGACACAATAAAAATTTTGGTTGACCTAAATGTTGATATATATCATTTGTTATAGATACTTGTGCTTGGGCAAATGATTGAAAGACTTCTTTATCTGCTTCAGACATTTCAGGTTCAATATCATCAAACAAGAGGGCAAAAGCTGAACATCCAAACTGAGATACTTGTTCAAGTTTTCTTTTTAGTGTGGTAATTTCCTTTGCACTTGAATATGTAATGTCAAGACCTGGTGATAATGCATAATAAAAAACAATATTTTGGTCCTTTGCTGCTTGAATTAGGCCTGTAAGATGTTCTGCTTCTTCAACTGTATATAGCTCACGCCAGTATGCTCTGTGCTTGTAGTCATCTTTTGGAGCATAGACATAGGAGTCCATGCCCCATTTCTTCATCCTAAAATTAAATGCTACTAAAAAACATGAATCAGAATTATTAACGACATAAAGCTACTTTTGAAATAGATCTTTTCGTTGCTCGGTAGTCCAAGGTCTTCCATAAAAACCTGAAATTCCAGGATTAAGAATATTTTAAATATAATTGACATATAAAATACCCTCAACAACACCACATATAAAATTTCCATTTTTTGTGTTTAAGTTTTCGGAATTTGGTAAAATCGCTTCTTTAGTTCCCATAATTGCTTTTTCTGTTACCTCCTTTTTATAAAGAATAATATAACAAATGGTAATGGTTTACTTCAAATTTGTAAAGTAAATAAAGTCAAATGTCAAAATCAAAATCGCGGACCACACAACTATAACCAAAACCGAAAATAAACCTGTATTCGAATACTCTTTCGTTACGCCTGGCTACACTATTGAGATTAAGTGCCCAATTTAAGCAAATATATATTTACTTTTATAATCGTAGATTTAAAAATTATGAAACCTAGATATTTCCACGAAGGCCGTAGTAGTAGAAAATTGGGATATACATCTTTCATAAAATAATGTGACAAACATTTTTTATCAATTTTTTGAGCTAAATTTATTATTTTTATTATTTATTATCGTCAAAACTACGTTTTTCTAAATAACATTAGCTTTCAAAGAGAATACAATTTTTTTTTATTTTTCTATTCTATGATGACAAGTTATGGTTGTGTTTGCGTTAATATTTATTGCATATAATTATAATGTAGTGAATTTTATTAAATCTTCGACATTTCCAAAATAAAAAGTGATGAAAACATCTAGGTTAACAAAAATACTTTGCGTTTTGTTTGTTTTCTTCTTCAATTGTGGAGGAGAAAATACTAAGGAAAATTCGGACGATATTTTTGTCCCTACCAATGAATGGAAAGAGATAAGGGAAGGTTAGAAAAAAGTTAGATTCGTATTAAAAAAAAATGATTTTAAAATATGTATGATTTACGGCCTTTCAGGTCAGAAAGTTCCATCTGGACTACATTACAGAATAAATTTATCAACTGGAAAGAAAGAGGCCAAAATTATTCAACAAGAAGATGAGCCATCAAAAAATACCTTCACCTTAGTAGAAAAAGACAAGCCAGATCGTTCACAAACGCCTTCAGCTCCAAATAAAAATAATTGGAATTTCAAAGTTAAAGAATCAAGAAAATTTCGAAGTTATGAAGAACTGAAGAAAGAAATTGGAGATTTGAATTTAATTCCCCAAAGTGATGCAGAACTTTTAGGGGATCTCTTCCAGGAGTACGACTTGGAAATAAAAAAAAGAGAACAGAGTCCTAAAGTTATTATAGCAATTATAAAGGATTTAATATTCCTTTCACATCAGTTTGACAACGCAAATGAGTTTGTTAGATTAGATGGTTTTAACAGGATAGTTTACAAAAGTTTCAATTCATCAAATAGTGAAATTAAACAAGAAGCCTTAAAATTGTTCAGCTCACTTGTGCAGAATAACGCGAAAGTAAAAGTGCATGCCTTGGAAAATGGTGCAATTTCCATTTTACTCAAAACTTTAAATCTAGAACCATCACCGCAAATTAAACACAGCACGATAACAGCCTTAAGTTGTTTATTGAGAACTTTTCCCTATGCTCAGAACAGTTTTTTGGAAAATGGTGGCCTAAAATTATTTTCCAATATTTTCCAGTCAAATTCCTTGGAACTTAATATCAAACTTAAATTAAAACTGGCGACTTTAATTTCAGATCTACTATCTGAAAGGGAATTTGACGAAGATAATTTTAAGGGACATACAGCTGTAGATTTGGCTGATCATCTGCGTAAACTTAACTGGTGTGAAAACTTAAACAAGCTGTTGCAGGATTTGATACAGGTGGACATTGAAGATCATGATGCAATAGAAAAATGTCTAGTGGCCATGGGGCTTTTAGGTGAAAAATGTATAGATAAATACAATCAGGACATAATTGTTGGCCTATATAAAAGATATAACAGTCTAATCAATGAAACTGAGGATGATGCTAGCTACTTTAAAGAATTGCGAGATTTATGTTTATTGTTATCAACACCTGTGCATCAGCCTTCTAATCTGAAGAGTGAATTGTGACCATTCCTTGATGTGATTTGTAAATACCGTGCTACATTATTGTAAAAATTCCTAGTCTGACTTTGTAAGCAAAGCCTAAATGTTGTAAATTCAACTGTTGAAATAAAAACAAGATAAAACTGCAATTGCATTTAAATCCATTTCAAAACACCCAACAACAAGAAGCACTTTTGTTTTCATAGTTTTGGTTGGTTAGATAGTAGTCATTTGTTTCCCGCCTTTTGAACATGTTATGATGATGTCAAAATGTCGAAATCAAAAAATGTTTTCATATCAAATTTAAAACCATTTGAGACCCATGAAAACTCGGAATTTAAATTCAAAATCAGTTTTGATAAGGATTTAAGTCACATGTATTTCAATGTAACCTAAATATAAATCCTCCTCACAGAGGCATCCTTTGAGAGCCCAATAAGTTCGTCACCACTCAACGTGAATCTGCCCAAATTGCCCGTTTTGCTGGGCAAATAATACTAAACACAAAAAACTTAATGTGAGAATTCAAGTGTCAAAATTTAAAAAACAAAATTGCAGGAAAATTATCAAGCTGCTAAAAATACGAATTTTTAAGGCAGTTTTTATAAAATAAAGACTTTTAGGTATTCTTAAAATGAAAATTTGTTATTGAATGAAAATTAATATGCATTTAGAATTTAACTTCTTTGCGAGACTAACTTATTTGTCACTTTGACCACATCCTTTGTTTCTTAATGGGCAGTCGATATTAAACAAACACTTCATACAAAAAGTTTAATATAATTTAATGATACATATAACAGTAACTTAATCACTTTCAGCCCCACTTGAAGGCGGAGTGCTTAAAATTTCCTCTTCACTTTCTGAATCTTTACCTTTTTTGGAACTTTTTTCTTTCTTGTTCGACTTAGACTTTCCCTTGCTACTCTTCTTACTTTTCTCGTCAGATTCATTCTCGCTTTCAGACGGAGTACTTAAAATTTCTTCACTTTCAGAATCCCTTTTCTTACTTTGTTTGGAACTTTTCTCATCCTTTTTAGATTTCTTTTTGCTCTTTTCATCGTCGCTCTCCTTCTTTCGTTTACTACCCTTTTCTTCGTCTGACTCATCAGATTTCTTAGATTTCTTTGTTTTGTCTTTCTGAGAATCTGAAAACCATTCCGTTATAAGATAACTTCCCAAAATTCAAAATGTATAAAGAAACAAAAAAAAAATGCAGATTCAAAGACAAGACCTAAAGTTGTTTCACTTTCTTTTAATTAAATTTATTCAGTTTTAATCACTAATTTAAAATTACTTCAGATATTCAATTGCCGTAGTTTTCCTGAAGAGCCCTAGGAAGGTTTAAAGAAGGACATTTATTAGGATAATTGTTGGAGTAAAGAAAATATCACTAGACAATACAATAAAGCTACTGAGTTGGGAACAATACCAAACAAATTCATTTTTTCAAGCTATAGCTATTCCAAATTTTACTTTTAAAGAAGATTCACATTTTTACAGAAGAGATAGATAGATAACATGATGTCAAAGTTTCAGTAAGTACTTTTAAATTAGTTCTACTTCTCAATCTAGGTGAAGTGCCAGCCGGCTTTCCAAACTTCAAGTCACTGATTTTTTGTGGGTATAAAAAAAAGCAAAAATTTAAAAAAGTGAACATTTCTAGCATGCTACTTCCAAAATCATTATTTTTGTTAATAGAAAGTATACTAACTTTTTTATTTATTAAAAAAACAAATATTCCTAAAATTAAATTACTCAAATCCAATCGGTCGATAGCAGCATACCGTAATGTGGAACTTACAAAAAAAAAAAACGGAGATTTTCCACAACTATAATACACGTAACAAAGACTATTTCTCTATAAAAAAAATAGACTAGAATTTTCAAGAAAATATTTTACGAAAAATAAACTTTCCCCAGAGCTAAAACGCAGTAGTAAAATAAATATTTTCAAATACAAACTAACATTTTTTCTCCTAAAACAATTTGTTTTTTATAATTTAAGGGAATATTTTACTTATTAACGTTTGTTATCACTGCATTGTTGTGCTCTGTCTTATATTTTTATTATATAAATTTTTAACGTAGTTTTCTGCCTCATCTGTGTACCCAATTTTGACCTACTCGACGAAATCCATAACACCCTGATTGTATTCTAAATATGTTATTATTATTATTACCTTTATCTTTTTTCGCTTTTTCGTCATCAGAACTGCTATCGCTCTCTTCTATATACTCCTTGCTTTTAAAGGGACCCGACTTGACGGGCGAACTGTCGGGTTTCGATTTTTTAGACGCCGACGATTTCTTATTGGCAGTCGAACTTCCGCCCGAAGCCTTGTATTCCACCATTGCCTTGTTGTACTCTTCTTTCTCCTTGGCCGCTTTCTTCTCCCATTCGGACTTGTCTTTCAGTTCTCGCCACATCTCGCCGCCTTTTTTCGCGATCTCTGTTATTTTAATTCCAGGATTATCCTTTTTGATCGACTCCCGGTTCGCGTTCAACCACAACATGAAAGCGGTGGCCGCACGCTTGGGTTTATTCTCGTCTCTCTCCTTCTTGCCGCTCCGCTTTCTCGGCTGCTCCGAAACCGTTTTCGAGCTCTTTTTCTTCTCCTTTTCCTTCTTTTTTTCCTTCTTTCCGCCTTCTAGTTTAAAAAAATATTTTATAAGCACGACAAAAACGGGGTTCTCAGCTATTTATAAAAATTACAAGTCTATAACCATTCTGGGTCGCTGAGAACCCACAGTTTTAATGTGTTCAGATTAACCTTCGTCGTCGCTTTCTGAACTGCTAGGATCACTGTCGAACTCCTCCGCGACATCGCTATCGTTCCCGCCTTTGGCTTTTGAAGGATCATAATCTTCATCGGTACTTTCGTCTTCATCATCGTCGCTCTCTTCCCGCTCCTGACCTTCGGCTTTGACACGTTCGAGGTACGCGTCTGGTGCAGCTTCCTCGTCAGAATCCCCAAAGTCGTCTTTATAAGAGGCTTTGTCCTGTTTTAAAGTCGTTTATCAGATACAGGATTCCAAAATTAACTGAGCAGACCAAGAATTTTACTCACTGTCTCTGGGATTTCAAACCCAGCGGAGAAGTAATTTTGGTAATTTATTTAAGAGATTGTGAATATAGAACTTGTGGAACACAACAATGACATTAAAGTACAGCCCAGTAAATATATAAGAAAATTTAAAAGATTACTCAGTGTCAATTTTTCAATCATATAGTTGCTTGAAATTTGATAATGGCCCGAATTTTTTTTTATGACCATTCAACAAAAGCATTACTTAATTAAAATTACCCTTACAGAACAGGGTAAGGTACATCATTTTTAATTATATGGTTTATATGACCTACAAAGTGAACCGACCAGACCGAGAATTCTTACTCACTGTCTCTGGGATTTCAAACACATTAGAGAAATAATTTTGGTCATTTACTTAAGGGATTGTGAAGCTGGAACTTATGCTATAGCCGCTATAGCATAAGTTCCAGCTATAGTATAGCGTCTAGCGCGGACCAAATTTTTATTACGCAAAGAAGAAAATTCGGGGTTTTTGTCCTTGAAGGACGCATTGTTTATCTATGGTGCTCCTGGGGACCACTATGGAACTTTCGCAAAATCGATGTAATTGAATTGTGCATGCACCCTGTATAAAGTGCTTTTCACATATCGTCGAACTTCAAACTTACGGCATACTTTGGTAAATATTAAAATTTGTTCTGGTAATTGCGATTTAAAATTATATTTTTCAAATATCTCAGTTTTTCTTTTATCGGCAATAATTTACCAAAAAAACCCGAAATTTTTAGGATCTTTTAGATTCTTTGCACATAAACGACACACCCTGTATATAAGTCAAACAATATTCGAAATGGAGTTGTCTAAGAATTTTTTCAACAAAGTAAATGGTTTTCGAGAAAATAATCTTTATCTGAAACTATGCAGTACGGCGTAATAGTTACCGCAATGTAAAAGAAAGAAACATCTGGCCCACTTTTCAGTTTTTTGATTTTGTGGCGCACCCTGTATATTTTTGAAAAATTGTCAATTGTCAATATTCTGTGCCTTCTGGTTCACGAATTTTTCAATTGTCAATTGTCAATATTCTGTGCCTTCTGGTTCACGAATTTTTCAAGGCTAGGGTTAAAAAGGAGGTAAATTTTAATTTTGTAGCTCCAACGGTTCGAAAGTTCAGGAAAAAAATTTTTTTTTTCGACGGTGATCATTTCTGTACCAACGGCGATCCCATGGGACCTACGTTACCGAGATAATAAAAATTTATACGAGCCTAGATAATTTCGAAAAATTCGATTTCATTGATTTTCGAAAGTAATAACAGCACAACAATTACATTAAAGTACAGGCCAGTAAATATAAGAAAATTTAAAAAAAGGATTACTAAATGTTCAATTTCTCAATTATATGGTTGCTTGAAATCTAAAATATTGCCATAAGATTTTCCTGGTATTATTATAAGAAACATTAAAATTAATTTTATTTTACCTTAAGCTTCATATAGTAGGAATGCATGTAAAGCAAAAAGATATAATAAAAATCGTTTCACAAAACCAAATGACAACTACCAATCTAAATATTTGCAGAAGAGAACAATATTTTACGGTACAAAAATAACTTACACTCTTCCCGCGATTTTTAATATGAAGTTTCTTAGAGTTGATAAAATCAAAAAGTTTTCCATATTCTTCTTTCTCAATATTGCTGAAAGTATGTACAGTTCCGGACTTCAATTCTATTTCGAAATCAAATGATCGAGTATTCCCGCCGCCTCTTGCAAAATTGACGGAAGTAATTTCCTCAAAGCGAATATGAAGAGGAGGTTTGTGAATGTAAATGAAACCTCGTTCGAGAGGGTAAAGGTAACCGGCAGCGGCTTTGAAAGAACACCCAACTGCTGGAGTGCCCGAATGCCTTAAACCACATATTTTCAAACACTTGTTCCAGAACCGGCTAAATCTTTTTACCCTATGAAATTCCCTGGTCCAGTCAGCTTCCTGTTGCTTATATTTTTCATTATCTTTCCCAACACTTCATAAGTTGGTCCAGACAGTTCTTTGTCTAACTTTCCCTCATATTTTTCTTTTAATTCTTCACTAAAATTGAAACAAACTCAGAAAAAGTTAACCAATAAGCTATGGAGCTTTCTTCCGTTCATCTTCAACCAAATGTTTTGTAATAAATTTGAGAGAAAAAGCAACCAAAAATAATTAAAAAAAGTAAATAGCAGCATAATTACTCTGTAAAAGGCAACTCCAAAGACGTTTCATCCTCCTGTTTGAAAAGCAACACCAAGAAGTGATAACGCGTCTGACCTTGCTTAATAGGTGGATCTAAGCTGACCACGAAAAATGTTTGCCGGCTATCCTTGTGGGGCAAAATAAATAGCCTCAACACAGTGGACATTGGTATTTTGTAGTCAAAAGTTTTACCATGGAGTTGAAAAAAGGAACTGAATATTTTGACATCATATCTACCTCTGAAATTGAATATGTTTACAAAGAAATTCAACAAATTATTCCACAAGACAATGTACCTTGGGGTAAGACAGTGAATTTCCCTAAATATGGCTATGGCATCACCAGACACATTAATAATGCTTGCTTTTTTCATTATTTGTTGCTGGAAAGCTTCTACAGGGTCCACGTCCCCAGCTAACTCATTTGAGGGAATAAAAAATCGCATCTCTAGAAGGCTGACTGGAGCATCATCATTCTAAAGGATTTAAATCACTAATTACAGACAAATTCTTTGCAGAGAAACCCACCTGTATACAAAGAGAGGAATTTAAAATTATAAACGAACCTGATGAAACTCCATTGTAATTTCATTTTTGCCAGCCGTGCACTGTGAAACATGATTTAAAGGAATTTCAAATGCGCTCTTATCGGCAACATCAAAGCTTAGGACTGATCCATTAAATTTAGCTGTGCCCCAATTCCATCCTTTAAGGCTAAGCTCCTTCTCTAACATGTCGATTTTGTAAGAGCTAGTAAAAAACTTTGCTATTTTTTCTTTCTCAGATTCTTTGAAGCCAACGAATCTATGCAAAGAACCATTTTGTAAGAATACCCTAATGCCCCATGAGCCCCCGAAGTTTTGAAAATTGACTGCTTCAAAATCTGACGCTGGAATTTGATCTACTTTCCCAGTTTTACCGTTTTTAAATACAATGCTTTGATCAGTCATTTTTAATTTCCCTGGAGTCTAAAATTTTTTGTTTATAGCTAATTTGCTTTGGTGATGACATTTTTACGTACCATGCATCCTTTAATTTCCGCCGAAATATCCGAGTACTCTAAAAAATCCATTGTTGGAATACAGCGAAAAAGATCTATTTTCTGTTTTCGGCAAAGAGCAAAATAAGCAAGCGGCAAATTCAGCAACCTCTTCTCATAGTTAAGCGAGATTGGTAGTTAGTGTTTTCTTACATGTTATCAAAGCATAGATAAATAACAATTGCCGGTTTTCGCCATGATCTTATTTCTGATGGCAGTATCGAGTAGAGTTTAAAGAAATTCCTATTAATTTGGAATGACCTATGCTATTCAGAATAAATGAAAGAATTTGAAGTTAATTCTTTAACTAGTAGATGCGTTTCAAAAAAACCCAAAATAATATTAAAAAACCAAATGCTGTCTTCAATTCTATTACTTCTAGTAAGACAGTAAGGTCAACTTTTTTTCGTATGAACCAAATGACGTCACCACAGGAACTCGCCCTAAATGTGAAGAAATAAATCGTTGATCTATCAACTTTGGATTACTTCTTAGCAGCACAAAACACATTGAGAGCAGATGGAAAATAGAATGTTTGTGTGGCATAGCAAATTTTCAAATTTTCACGAATTTAAAAGAGGCAAGTCCCAATTGTCGATTTTAAATCTGGCAACAGCGCAAGTGTTTGCCGACGCCCTCTTGTGTGGATAATCGACCCGCCATTATCGTTTGCAAGGTAGGAATAGAACCGGACGCTTCTCTTTCGCAATTCTCATTTGGGAAGGTTTTGTTGCCGGCAATTGGTCACGTGTAGTTTTTAATAAATCCAAATTCATCCTCTTAACGAAATGGCCGATGAATATTTTTTCGGTACGTATTAATTCTTTAACGTTCGCTGGATATGTTATTTACAATATTTTTTTAAATTTCTGTTTATATTGGTTTGTATATGGCGGCTAGGGAAGCCGGTATTTGCGCGCCATTAGTGTAGTGTTCGTTATTGAAAGCGATTATATTTTGTGTTTTAGCTCTTACATTGAAAGGAAAAAGCAGTTCAGAAATATGGGATCCTGAGGCAAAAGGAGCGGGCGAAGAGGATTACCAAGGAGGACACAAACTTATAATTAAACAGGCCCTTCTAGGACCCGAAGCCACGGAAGGTTTGTTACTGAATTCTTATTTTTGTTTTTATATTTTAGTGTATGTTAAATACGTGGTTGTTTTTAGGTGAAGTGAATGTTGTGCAAGTAGAGGCGATGACATGGAAAGATTCAGTTAAAGTGCCAGTAGCCACTTTAAAAGCTGGGGGAGCAAACAATCAAGTGTTGTTAGACCTCTCATTTCCAGACCCGCCAGTGACATTTACCTTGGTGCAAGGAAATGGTCCTGTACATATTATTGGTCATCATCTTATCGGAGATCCAATTGAAGAATTTCATGAAATAGATGAAATGGATGAAGAAATGGATGATGAGGGTGAAGAGGGTGCTGTAAGTATTTCCAAAATATTGTTACCCATGTTGATATCTTAAATTGTTATTTTAATAATTGAACCTTTTTCGAGTCAATTTCTTTAAAAATAGCTTTTTGGCTGGAATATGCTTAAGGAATTAAACTCTATTATCCTCATCATAACATTTTTTGGGCACTGTGGTGCTTAAACATTTTTTTGCAAAGTTGGTTGAATTTAAAATTTGATACTGTGAACAGGTGATAGAAACTTCATTAGATCAAAAGTTTGGAAAGCAGCTGGGAGATCTAATTGCAAGCAAATTGGCAAGTAATTGTTTTTCACTTTCTCCAATTTTTTCTTCCTTCATGCTTGATTCAATTTTGACTATGATTTTATTCCCATTTTTTTTATGATCCTCACTGTTACATTTTTATTGCTTTAGTTCAGCTTAATTTCTTGTGAGGGCATATTAGATAAAACAAAACCTCAATATCTCAGTCTGCCAATAATTTTCTGGATCCACTAATATATAAGATATAAGATAAGTTTTTGAAAGTGAAGGAAGCATGTAAACTCAGCTGTCTCGATCCTCTGTTTAACTGGCAAATGTACGTGGGTGGTTAGATGTATGGGTCACCCAGTTGCTCATGTTTAAAATGCGCAAGAGTAAAAGAAAGCAAATTTCAAATTTTCTGCATATTCCAACAAAATACCATACCCCAATTTAATGGCGCCTCTATATTTTGTTCAAAATAAATAAATTCTTGAATTGTCCAAACACTTCACTTCCATTTAATTTGATTTGCTTTACAAATATGTCTACATTTATTTAATGTTATTACTTACAGTATGAAATACATTTTTGATTCAAATTGATTAGTAGGTTGTGGGTTGGTAATGCTCCTTAATATTTTCCCTACCTAATTGTTTTTAACTAGTCTGCATAGCGACAGAGTGGGTCAATTCATTATTTCTACGTGCCTTTTATGTTCCACAATATATATTTATATTTTTTTGCCATTACCTCCCAGCGTCTTTTGTTTGCTAAATTTGTGAATTTTTTGCGCCTTTTGAAGCTCATGTGTATGATATTACCTCCCAAGTCAATCAATGTAAAATTGCAGAGTGCTGAAATACCTAAAAAAATGTAAAGTGAGACAGAAAACACTGGTAAATTCTTACTCTTATCCAGAAACAAAGCTGAGATATGACTTACCAAATGCTTCATAATTTTTCCCTTTCATTAAAATTTTCTAGCAAGTGCATGTGTATGTGCCCAGAAAATGTTGGTTCTTTAATTTTGAAATTTATGACCCAATTCATTTTTAGGGTGATGATGAGGAAAGTAGAAAAGTAAATGGAAAGTCAAAGGTGTGAAGATATTGCCTAGAAGTGGGTCATTATTTCAAGAATTTCTTTTATTTCAGGAAGAAGAGGAAGAGGACGAGGAGCCCAAAACAAAAAAGGCGAAAACGGCAAACTCGAAAGGGAAAACGCCAGTGAAAAATAATGCCAAGGCCAAGAAGTAACTTCTTGTATTTTAAGTTAGGTTTTGTAATGTCACTGGTAATGTATGTTTCTTTTATCTTGTGATTATCATTTAATGGACAGTACAGTTTTTGTAGTAATTGATAATATTTCATGAATCAACGTAACCTTTAAAGTATTGTAAAATTATTGCGTTCCGGTAAGTTTTATATTAAACTTCACGTGAGATATCCATTCGGTAATCATGAAAAACCAATGTTGTAAATATACAATCTCATTAAAATAGTTTTTTTCTAGTTGTTTTTCATTTTCTTTTCCGGTGACTGACTTTAAGACATTTTGTAGAGGAGAAAACTATCACATTCATGCACTTCGCGATTTTTTTATTGGCAAAGGACTTTTTTTCCTGAAAATTTAATACAACTTTTGAACAAAAATTTGTAGTTTACATGCACTTCAATTGTAAAGGAAGTCTGCAGGCATATTTGGGAAAGAATTTCTGTATCTATTCATACACTGCCTGTGTGGTATTAAATGAAACCAATTGTGATAAGTGGACCTGTGGACACATTTTTTAGACACAATAACTAAAACATGAACTAGCTGAATTCAATAATTCATTTAAATTTATATAGTTATCAACGAAATTATAACCTAATTATAAAAACTTCAAATTGAAATCTCGTTTTCAACCAATAAGAACTAGCGGTGTTCAATAAGTAACATGACACACACGTAAAGCCGACAGGTTTCAGTTTAGTTAGCAATTTTGCTGAAGTATTTTCTCGAAATGTGCGCAGATCTCGTTCAATGTTCTGGGAAAACAAATTAAGTGTGAAAATCGCTGTTTAGAAAGAAAATTATGTAATATGCAGGTTAGTAGGTGAGATTTAAAGGCATGCGCTGAAGATCATTCCCATCTCTGCGAAAATATAGCCGCTCAAGGCGCATCGATATTTGCCGTACTGGAGCCACTGTATTATCTAATAGCTAAATGAAATTATAAAACTGAGGGCTCCACACCACTTCGTCATATTGAATTGAGAAACTGTAAAGCCATATTTTACAGTTTGAGTATTTTATGTTCTTCAGTCTATACATAACAGTCAAAATTTTTAAATATGATTTTTTTCTGAGAATTTTGTTTGTAACCAAACAACAGTGACCAGAGTTTTTGTTTTCTCCTTAGATTAACTATGGTAGTTACCATTGCTAATGTAAGGCTTTCTCTATTTCCTGATACTAAACATAGCAAGCAATTTTTTGCATAGCGAATATGGTATATTATGCAACAAGTGCAGTAAACGGCATTTGACTCACGAGTTTATTTTTTTTTATAAACGAGTGAGTTAAAAAGTTTACCGAACATGTTGCATACTATACTTTTTCTACGACCGTTAGTTTTTGGGTACATTTTCGCAAAACAACACGAATTGGCAAAACGTCAAAATTCAAAGTCAAATATCTTCGAAAACATCCCCCAAACCTGTGGCGTAAAATCCCGGAAATGTCCGAAGTGGCTCGGAATCATGGGAAACGAAACTGGCGTGGTAAAGTGACGCTTCCCGCACGCTAGATCGATGGGTAATTAGGTATTTTACAGACGGGAGTAGAAAATTAGTATATTATGCAACAAGTGCGGTAAACGGCATTTGACTCACGAGTTTATTTGACACGAGCGGAGCGAGTTTTTAATAAACGAGTGAGTTAAAAAATTTACCGAACGTGTTGCATAATATACTTTTTCTACGACCGTTAGTTTTTGGGTTCATTTTCGCAAAACAACACAAATACATTGACTGACATGAATGTCAAAATTCAAAGCGTGGGAAATATCTCCGAAAACATCCGATTGCTTCCAAATCCGTGCGGTAAAATCCCGGAAATGTCCGAAGTGGCTCGGATTCATAGGAAACGAAACTGACGTGGCAAAGTGACGCTTCCCGCACGCTAGATCGGTGCGTAATTAGGTATTTTACAGACGGGAGTAAAAAAAAATGTTTCTTGTCCGCATAACCCTTCATCTTTATAAGTCCTAATTGCATCTTGCATTGCGAGTTGTCCCGCAAAAATTACTTAATTGAATTATGGAATATTACACTCAACAAACAAAATTCTGTACCTGATGCATCTTAAAAAGAATTTAAATTACTTTCGTATATATGGAGACGTTATGAGATTGAGTCTAAGAGGCGACAACTGGTTTTGATTCGCTCTTTTCAAAAAATCGAGTTATGTGTTCAATAAAAATGCACTGACAAAAATGGAAAGACTGTGAATTCCCCCAAAATGCACGCAGCGATTGTTTTCCAAGAATTCAGTAGCAAACAAAATGTTATCGCGGGATGTTTAGTCATTTATTCCAAAAATCCAAGATCTTTAACATTTTGTTCTAAAGTCGGCGATAAATAAAATGAACTACGGAGCGATATATCCGACAACATCGGTTAAGGAAATTCAATTTGTTATATAGAGCGTCGACGTTGTAAGGTTTGTTTAGTTCTCTCCGACAATCTGACGAGATGAAGTTCCTCGTGTGTTGCTTATTTGCTGCTTTTGCAGGTTTGTTTGTTTGTTTTTGTTTATTATTTTCATGCACTTTGTTGAAAACTTCAAATTATTAACAATTAGTTTTTCCCCAAACGTAGGAAGCCAAAAAAATAGTTCAAAAGCCAGGAAATTATTTTTTTTTCTATTACCAGTGGATGGATAAAATTTGACTACATCTGTTATCATTATTTTATTAATCTTCATGTATAATTATAAAATATATAAAGGTCTATTTCTTAAAAAAACACAAAACCCGAATGCTATGAACTATTCTTTGCCCACGAAGTGAATGGTAGAAATGACAGTTTTCATTCAGAAATTACTCGTGCTAAACATTAATTCATAGTATCCATAATCACTAAAGCAGTGGTATACGTGGTATATGTCGTATCCATAATTAACATATCCATAATTAACACTTGGTCTGTTTGTATTGTCATGTATATCTCGCCCACCTTGTACAATAGACAAAAAATTTAATTGCAAAAATTGCAGTCCTTGCTGCTGCATATACAAGGGTATAAACCAAATCGTTTTCAATTGTCGCTAATAATTTATCAGGAAAAACGCAATTTTCAGGTTTTTACGAATAATGGGCACATCCCGTAAAATAATCGATAAAAATGCATTTCGTCAAAGTTACAGCTCAAAAAAAAAGTGGACGCTGGTGTCTGTTACTGTAACTGTTAAAAAGAGAGCAAATTTGAACCCCCTAGTTGGAAAATTCGAAATTTATCGCCATTTGCAGAGGCCGGACAACAGATAACAAAAAAAAATATTTTTTCGACATTAAGAATTTAGTGACGTAACTGTTTTCGTTTTTTCCTCAGAGATATATTTAATATGAAGCAAAACTAAAATTCCAAGCAGGTTTTAACGATTTCCGATTGCATTTCAATTAAGAAATCAGGGAATTTTGTTTTGGCGCTTTCATGTTTTTATTATGTAGATCCGCCGCAAAACTGATAAATCGGTCACACAGGTTATCGGGGAATCACTAACGTATCACATGTTGCGCTTTGTTGAAAAATTCCATTTTCCAATTGTGTCGTGTTTTCTCACATCGAGATTCCCAGACGCTGAAATACAACGTATCCGTAAAAGAAATGTAAACATAATATACATCTTTGATGAAATGACTTTTTTTTCTGATTTTGCACACAAATAATTATCAGGTGTTATGAATCTTTAACAATTTTTTTTATTATTACTTTCTGAAAAAGTTCCTGCCAAAGTGCCATGTTTTCAAAAAGTTTTTCTTTTGGATGTAAAGTACTATAATAGATAATTTTTAAAATTACTTTCATATTAATACAGGTTCACCCAAAATTGTTAAAATAAGTCTCAAAAACTTATTTTTTAATTTTGTCAAATTGTAATTTTATTTTTATTTCTCAACTACCTAAGGAGTATTTAAATGATGTTATCTAAATTTACAGTGGAGTGTAACAATAGACTATGTCTTATATCCCAGCATAAAGAGCTTCCCATCTTATACAGAGTTTCCTAAAATTTATAATAATCTAATAACAACTATATGTTTTAATTTTTATGGAACGTTATATTCTCTAAATTACTAGGGAATTGTGTTCTATAACTAAATCTTCGAGTTTTCGCAGAATACTTGAAATTATAGTCGGTGGTTTCTAAAAATTTGGTCTGCTTTTGCTGTAAAGTCTGTTTATTAAATGGTCTGTGAAGTTACACTTCGTATAGCTGCATTGATCAACTTTCCCTCATACTTTATATTTTTATATTTTTTGAAGTTGGTCCAAATTCTGTTATTATTATTACAACTTGAAATGCAATTTATTATTCAGGCTAGATGGACTAACAAATCTAAACTCAGTACTGGCAACTTAAACAAATTATTTGTCATGTTTTAAATACCATATACAACTAGATCCAATAAAATTTATAATTAGGAAATACATTGCAAAACATCAAATAACGTATTCTGGGAAAACGCGATTAGTTAACTAACCATTCCAGAGTTCATTAAAAACTACATTTCCTGGTAAGCTAAAAAATATGGCGCTCCTTTTAATCAACTTATTAAGGAAGGTTTTATAATTGAGATGGTCTAACTTTACTGTGGATTTCGCCTACAAACCTTAAACACTTCTTATGTTCGAAACTAAAATTAAATTACATTTTGCAAAATTCTTTTTTTTAAAAAAAAAAAAAAACGTTAAAATTTAGGTAACGAAACATTTATTGAAACATACTCTTATTTTGGGCTTGTATAAGAAAATAATTTTAAAAATGTTACCATAATTGGACTTTACAGATCTCAAAAGTAAAACTTTTTAAAAACCCTGTAGAATTACCTAGTTGTTGGGTGGTGGATAAATTTTGAGACACCCAGTAGGTACGATTTTTTGATTCTAAGTTTATTGGATACGGGGAGTCAAGCTTTTTTTTATGTCCCTAAATGTATGCCGTTATCGCTGAGGTAATTCCATTTTTTAACAGTGGTCGAATACGTAAATGGCTACCATCCTAGATCCTATGAGTACTCGAGACCTTACCCGTCTCGTGGAGTCGACCGTGGCTTTGGAAGATTTTTGAACGACGAATATGCCAGCAGTTTGGACAAGGATGCTATTGTGTCCAAGGCGAACGATATTTGCCCCGGATATGGCGAACAATTCATGGTAACTATTGTTTATCGTGTTGCCTATCTAACTAACCAAAATTAAGTTACCACGAACAGTGAAATAATTTACCTAGACATTGAAATTTAAGTAATTATTGCTTCCTATTCGGATAAAGCAATTACCATTAAATATAACAAAAATTATAAGCCTAGCCGAAACTGAATAACATAGCATAGCATAGCATAGCATCTTAAAGCTCAACTAATCAATTCTCATTGGTCAAAGGCTAATTTTGATGGAATTGTATATTTAAGCCTTTAATCTGCATTAATATGAGATTTTCTTTCAAATTGAGATTGAAAATTCGTATTTCATCAATCAATTTTTTCTATTTTGTTAGAGAATTCTATACTAACACAAATTTTGCATTCTCAGAGTCACTATTTCTTTAGTCACTAGTAGCTATATGAGGGTAACCCATATAGCTATGCACTAACGTGCAAAGCTAAACGGCTATTTCCACACATTTAACTCGTTTCTTCAGAACATTTAATGAGATCTGGGCATATTTTGAGACAACACTGCCATAAAAAGTCTACATCTAAACTGAAACATCGCTATAAAATTCTCCTTGTATTATTAGCATAGCATATATCTTGTAGCTATGTGGGATAACGAATTGAATCGATTCGAAGTATAAAATCAACCAATATTTTTTGCAGAATTCTTCAGTGGAAGCGATCAGCTGCTTCAACTTGGTAGACGAGAACCAAGAGACAGCGTGCTCGCTGATCCAGAAGCATTTCGAGCGATGTGCGCAGCCGATCATCAATACTTTAGAACAATGTCTACCGGAGCAGTCTAGCACGATTCCCGCACTGTTCGTGAGATCGACCGTGAAAATATCGGAACATCTTTGCAAGACAGACGGAGAACACATATTCGGTATTAGCAATGGTTTGTAACGATATCAATGACTGATCTATCGAGTACTTTTAGAATTGGGCAATCCCTGCATCAAGAGCTTCAATTATCGCACACAGACTTGCGTGAGGAGGCTCAAATCCAGGGTTCAACAATATTCCCGGAAGATTCCATCCGCTCAGGATATCTGCGAGTAAGTACAGCTTAAATCCATTTCCTCAAAAATACGGCGGTACTATTACTGAAGAAGTCGGATTTACTAGTCTTTATTTACCGAAAATTCAGTCAATATAAATACGAGAAGAGGGAATAAATAAAACAAAAATCTATATATATATATATATATATATATATATATATATATATATATATATATATATATATATATATATATACATATATATATGTATATATATAATGCATAGTTTCAGAAAAGCTTTGTTTTTTTGAAAACTATTTACTCTATTAGAAAAATTCGTGGAGCAGAAAACTCTGCTTCGAACTTTTTTTTAATTATATACAGGGTGTGTTTTTTTGGGTAAAAATTCTAAAAAATTATACAAATTTTAGTTTTGTGGGTAAATTATTCGTCGTCAATGAAAAACGTCAAAACAGTATCGTGAAATGGGTTGAAAGCTACAATTTTCTGATTTACAGTTCTTATCTATTATACGCGAGATATTTGAACAAAAATATTATTTGAAATCGCTATCAATGGTACAAATTTTTATATTTACCCAAGTTTGATATGATTTTGAATTTTGGCGACTGTAAGAGACACTTCATACAGGGTGTGCGCATAATAAAATAATATTCATTTTGCGAAAGTTTCATAGTGGTCCGTCTAGTGTGTGTGTGTGTGTGTTATTAGTACGTCACAATTGCCTCCTACATGATAACTCGGTAATAGTCGATTTTCAGCTTCTTGGGATCGTTCAGACCATGTATTCAAACCCATCTACAAAACTCTTGCGGCAATGAAAAGACTAGGGACGCATTCTTAGGGGTGTATGACGTCGCAGTGTCAGTGTGCAATCCAACCAATAACAACGAGGTTGAAGTTGTTTCGTAAGTATCTACAGTTCTTTAAGCTCCACTCAGAAGTATTAAGTATTTGTGCAACAGATTAAGCGAACTGCTAACTTAGCTGGTTTAGTTTCATGATATTTAAATAACAAAATAATATACAAGTTATTTATGGAAATCGACAGTTCCCAAAATTAGATTAGATTAGAAAAAAGATTTAGGGTTGTTTAAAACATATCGAAATGTGATAGAAAAGAATACGGCCTGTAAGTAGTACGAATTTATTTGTGAATATTCGGTGGTTGTAAACAGATTTTATGATATTTCGGTTAAATTTACTTGATGTTTTTAGAAATTATTTCCAAAATGTCGAGAGAAATTGTAATATTGTTTTTCCGACACTCTGCAAAATTATTTTTGTATTATTTGAATAGATTTGATCAAAATAAGCCCATGTTATTTATGGAATCGTACTGTACCTACCAACTCTAATCTACTGTACGAATGCTAGTGTCGATTATTTCTTCTCGTATCTAAGTTTAATTGTTTCTTTTGTTTCAGTCCAGACCTTGAGTGAGTAATTTTTTGTCTCATTTTGTATTTTACTACTGCGAATACGTCATATTAGATTCGAAAATGATTGTAAAATATTTGCGTTAATGACATGAAATATGTATTTAAAAATCATTAAAAAATGATGAGACGGATTAATTTAATTTCTTGTTATTTTACCTTAATCATGCATCCACATCCATACATCGATAGCTACTAGGGATGTAGAGGTCTTGCCCTATGCTGATAATACAGGAACTTATGGTAGCAGGTACGGAAAAACATTGAGGTTTATTCAACATGTACATGCGCGAGATTTAAAATTTTGTTTTTAACCAATAACCAACAACTAACATGACCACTGACAGATTGCCAATAAATTTTTATGCGGCATTTCTACGGAGGTATTTTCTCAAAATATTTCTACATCTCAATTTTCAAGGAGTTAAGTGTGTGAATATCGCTGTTTAGAAAGAAAATGACACAAAGTGCAGGTAAGTTGGTGAAATATGCGCGGAAGATCATTCCCATCTCTTTCCTTAGTAGGGCCACTGTATTATCTAATAGTTATATCACGACAAATCCGCACAAAAGTTTATTAAAAAAAAGTGAATGTAAATATATATTTTAAAAATAACTACTTCTTTTTTAAAATGTTTATGTCATATCTAATATTTAATATAATCAGTTGAATATATTTATGTGCTACATTATACATTAATTCATCTATTTAGTCATTTTGAATTTGGGATACCAAACAAGGTTGTAGAACAAGCTAGTACAGTATCATTTGAATTCAAACCTAGAGTATACAGTACTTAATTAGTTGGGTATATTTTTTGCTGTGCTAGTAAATAAATGAAAGCCCCTCAAAAATATACAGGGTGATGATTATCTTCCGAAAATACACACAAATGAAAATTTAATTTTGTTGAATAAATTAAATTATTCTTTTTAATCTAATTTAAACTATATTTTTCTTCAAGTTTACAACTTACGTGTTGGATAAATTTTGTATACAAAAATTAACGAAAGCTCTCCGAAAAAATAGATGATAAAAAATATAATAATAAGTAATCTACATTCTTCTCGGTGATGATAAAATTGTTAGCAATTTAATCGAAATAATAATAATTTATCTTTTATAATAATAATTAGGCTAAATATTTTAAACTCTTTTAGTATTTTACTCGCCGAATGGCAAAACCTAATGTAATGAAAAAAAAGTAAGACGAATTAATGGAATTTGTTGTTATTTTTCATTTAACCATAAGTCCGCACAAAAAATATACTAATATATTATACTTCATATTTAATGTGCAGCACTAATTTATTTATTGATTTTGAATTTGGGATACAATAAAAGGCATATTTATTTAAAAACACAATACAGTCTCCATTTAATACAAACCTGGATTACACAGTAATCATCTTTTGTTTTTTTTGCAGCGTTTGTGCAAAAAAAACTGAAGACTCCCAAAAAATTTACTGGGTGATAAATTTTTTTGCAATAAAATTTTTCCCTGCCTTTCAACTGTAAAATACATTTCTCTCAGAGTGTATTTGCCAACATCGATTGCAGTTTGCTCGAAATCGTAATAATTTAAACTTTAATAATGATATTTGAACCCCTTTTCGGGAAACCTCGTCCATATATTTGTTACTCACCTAGTGGAAAACCTCGATATATGCGCAAGGTTGTTCATTATGCATTATGGTTAAAATTCAGTGTCAGTGTCGTCAAATTTATCGCTATGGACTTGCAGTGTGCATATAACTTCATACTCGTCGCTCGATATTTTTGGTCGCCAGCCAGTAGGCGGGAAAACCTTTTGAAATAGGTACCCACCATTTCTACAATTGCGCAATTAGACTCGCATGACTAGCGTTTGCTGATTTGTATTGTACATTTAAGTACTTATTAAAGTGACCGGACTGTGGGAACGCAGAGATAGTGAAAGACACAAAGAAATGAAATGAAAACCCTTTATTCTAAACTTGACTTGACTTGAAACTTTTAGCCAGAACCATATTAAAATAAATAATAATAATAATTTAAGTTCAATAAAGGAGAGGTATTTAAATCTAATTGATCGTTAAGCAATACATTTGAATGTCTCATTTTGTTAATCTCCATGGCTTCCAATAAATTTAATTTTCTACTTTTTGTGGCTGTATGTAAAATATCAAAAATGTGTTTTTATGTGTTTAAGTGTGTAGCATAATTAGAATCTAGACTATTGTTTTTAAACGCTCATTTAAGTTCGTTAAACGTACACGTTAAAACACTAAACAATAGTCTAGATTCTAATTATACACAGAAAAACACATTATTGACGACAATTTTGATATTTTACATACAGCCACAAAAAGTAGAAAATTAAATTTATTGGAAGCCATGGACATTAACAAAATGAGACATTCAAATGTATTGCTTAACGATTAATTAGATTTAAATACCTCTCCTTTATTGAACTTAAATTCTCAGAACAACATTAATTAAGGTTTTACGGTCATTTTTCGGTATATATAGTACCAGGTAGTTTATAAATATTACATTTGATAAGGGCACGGTGTTGTCGAAACAATTGTTATGTCAAAATATATAATTTCGTGAAAATCTGAACTTTTAGTTCTTATTTATTTTGATAAATGGATTTTCATCAAGTAAAAGCCATATTATACACTGCTATCCGCGCTATTGAAAAGGTACACAAAAATATCATTTAAGCACGTTGAATCAAATTACTCGTGTAATGTGGAATAATCACAGCCACTTAGCTACAAAAACAAATATTTTTATGTATTTCCTCTATCAATTGCACTTTATGTTTAGTGTATTAGCAACATATTTATATCCCGCGTTGCCAAAATTTGCGCATACATATTGCCGCAAGTCTATTGAATATTTACAAATATGAGTAAACAGTATGTCATTATAGTGACGAAAATACCCATATAATTTTAGGTTCACGTACGACACTGATTCGATAACGTTATATTGCGGACGGTTCGCGAAATATTCATTCGGTTGCAACACGCCCTAAAAAAAGCAGTTGCGACAAAAGTTTATCAGTGGATGCGCACAATTAGCGACAAAAATTAAAAACTTATAATTAACATCGACTTTCGCTTAATCATTTCCCTGCCAAATTCGTCGCCAAAAAGAAGGTTAAAAAGATACGCGAGAATAAAAAATAAGATCCAAAAATTGAGATATTTTTGCAATGTTTTCAGAATTTAATTTAATTTTGTCTCACTTCAAAAATACTAATATATAGGGTGTTTCAAAACAAATGCTATCTAAATAAATACAGATTTGAAGTTTCCCACAGTCATACGGATTTTGGTGGTTCATATTTTTTAAGATACTCTTAAATGTACAACTGAAATTTAAATTTTAAAAGCGGTCTACCGCGTATTCAAAAAGAGGGTCAATTTTCGATATTTTGCTGTGCTATCGGAAAAAGTTATTTCAAAAAGATGTTCCGAATATTATTCTAACTAACAGGTAGTGCAAAATTCATGTCTAAGATTCATTCGTGATATCAGACGAAGACAATATATTTGTCATAAATAATGTGATAGTAAAATCAATTGAATATGAAACAGAAAAGAATCCTCCGTGCAGCGTGTATATTTCATAAAACCGTATTAAACAAGAAGCCAACCTATCTATATAACAAGATTTTGCCTCAAAATAACCGCCAATTAAGATATAGGTTCCGAACTCCTAGACACAAAACACAATTTTTTAACAGATCATTTTGGTTTTAAATCAGTAGTGTTACTATTGTGATTCACTCAAGCAGAAAACTTTGTCCTAGTTCAAAAGAACAGAACAGAACAGTGTTTATCAACTACAGAACAGTAATTAGTATTAAAAAATAAATAAATAGAAATAAAATAAAACGCAGTACTAAGAAGCAGATTTCAAAAATCATTATAAGTCCATAATTCAAACCTGTTTATTTAATTCATGAGAATTATATTTTTCTATTTATATATTCTATTAGTTATTTAAGTTATTAGAATTTTAATAAACAGTTTTTATTTTCTTCGCTTAAATTAAGTAAAACAGTCAACTGATCTTCGCCGTTGTTCTGGCACTCTATTCTTTTTTTAAGACCTATTTATTTATTTCGCCCACTAATCTGCACTCTGCGCCATTTTCTATAAACAGCGATTTTACCAGAACATTTAACGAGATTTAGGCATATTTTGAGAAAATGCTGACGTAAAAAACTTACGACGATCTGTCAGCGGCCATGTTGTTGTTCAATGCTGCAAGATCATTGGCTAAAAAGGAGATTTTAAGTCTCGCGCGCGCGCATGTGGAATGAACCTTAAATTTTTCTCACAATTGTTTCGTATGTATTATCGGCATAGGGAGGGCCTCTATTATCTCTAGTAATTATCTGAGTTAGGTACACACTTTTTGAGAAATATGGGATACTAAATATCGCTCAAGAAAAATTAAAGTGGAAGAAGGGGCAACTGTAGAACCTTGCGCTACTGTTTAGAAAAAACTCCTAAACCGAAACAAGTATAGGGCAGATAAAAGTTCGGTCTCTCAAATGTTATAAAAAATGCAAATGAACAATCTGTTTAAAAAACTGTAGGTATGGCAATTTATCCAGGAATATAAAAAACTATTATAAAACATGTCAGTAAATAACTTGTTTAAAAAAAATGCTTTTAATATGCGAGAATTGCACAGAAGTTTTAGAGAATACAAACTTAATATAATTAATATATTGGATTCTATTAACACCAAAAGTAATTCGTTTTCGTTTATTTTTTTATTTAATTTTTTTCTTTGGCAAAGGTATGTTGTATGTAAAAATTCCAGAGATGAAAAACAAAACTGAGCATCAGCAGTTATATTTTACATATCATTGCCTGAGTTGCTTTTTTAATTCACTTAGAAAGAATGATAGGGGTAGTCTCATTTACTTATTCAAAAAAATAACAAAAGCCTGAAGAAAGTGTGGTTTTATTTAATTATTTATACTTCTGTACACACCAACAGGTAATTACAATACAAGGGTGCTAACTGATATATAAATTTTTAAATCTAAATTAAGAATAAACATGCTAAGTTAAAAATTAAATATTATTCAATTAAATGAAATATATCTAAATGAAATTAATATATCCCTTACGAATCTGGTGCAGTATCGAAGCATAGTATTCAGAGATAAACAGCTTAATATAGCATTCCAAAATAGTTTTTGTTGTGTATTTCTAAGCACAAGTTTTGGAATATTTAAAATATAATATATAACTAAAAAACACTGGCTAGCGTTTCTCTATTACGATAGATAATACCAAATATTAAAAAAAAACACTTTTTCAATCATGTAGAGTTCAGTCGGTGGTATCCGAAAATATTTAGAATTTATAATTATAAATTGTAGAGCTTTTAATGCTTCATTTACAATGGATATTAAATCTATGCCGTGTCTGAAGATGTATGATGGTAATACTCCCATCAACTTTTATTGCTTGATCTCGTTTAATTTTTAAAGTAAAAAGTAAAAACTTTAATTTTCCGCCATAAAATACAATTTATTTTGAAAAAGCAATCAGGCTTTAAATTTTTCGCTTTTTTTAGGCATACTAATTGTTTCTAATTTAATAAAAAAAAATCCCGAGCAGGAAGTGATGGCTCCCTCTCTTGATATCTTCTTTGATTCAACAGAATCAAAATTTTAGAATAAAGCTGCGCTTCTTTAAGTTGCTTTGCCTTTTAGAAGTATTAATGGGTACCTGGTAGCGATAAATTAGGCGCCAAACAACAGCCGCTCGTTAATTTAAACTATGAGTGCACCGAGAACAAAAGTCTCACACCAAAATGACACCCTGTACGTTTAGCCAAGGTCATTTACGTAATAAATATAGACGATTGTGTCAATCATGCATGTATACCTACGATTTTTACGTTTTAGTGGTAAGGGAATCCGATAGTTGTTGTAAAATGACAACAATAGACCTCGTTGCATTTTTTCGTATAGTTCAGTTGACGATTTCGTGGGCTACTGCCGCGTCGATAGTTTTTGGCGGGAAACCGTTTTCATTATAATATGAGAACACACAACGATCTCATGTGCCTTCATCATAATGAGTCCCCTCGTATGGTGTTTGCTTCTAATTAGTATCAATACGGGTGAGGTTTTGCAAAGTTCTTGAAACTGTTGCAAATTTTATTTGTGTGATATATTTGTTTTCGTTTTCTCAGTTCAAATCATACTTCATATCTCAATTATAAAAGGCTCCCATTTTTCACAGGGTGGCCAAAAAATTATTTTAATGCAGTAACAACTATAATTGGCTATAACTTGAGTAATTTAAAGCCATATTATTTAACTTGGACGAAATCATAGTTTTTAAGTGTTATCTAAATAATTTTTTTATTACAGCTAATTGCTTCTGGTATTTAGAAATGAGAAATAATTTGTTCGGAGAGTCAATTTTCTCTGATCTGCACTTCTATTAAGTGTAGCACCGGTAAGAGTTGCAACTCGTAGCATTTTTAATAATAACATAACAATTACAGTGTATAAGATTTAAATTTTTTTTATGAAGTTTTAAAAATAATTTGTTATTCAGGCTATGATCAGAACTAACTATAGATAAAATAAAAATGGAGAAAACGATGTATTTTCAGATTATTATTATTACACATTTTGCCATTGTCATATTATCTCGTGTAGAAGCGCATTGCAAACAATTCCTTTTATACATCCCCATAAAAAGAAGTCTATTAGTGTTAAGTCTGGGGGTGTGGGGCATCAGTTTCGAAATCCATAACTTTTAATCCACCTGTTTTCAAAATTGGCATATAAAAGTTTCGCAATAAATTAATCATGTTATAGCCACTTGAACTTGTAAGTAGATAAGATAAATTATTGGCCATAATATTTAAGATAGGAAGTTTTTTATAAATTGGGTCTATAGTCATTTTGGGCAAAGCTGAAATTATTGGAAAAGATTTCGGGGTCAAAAACCTTATTAAAACACACTTATTTTTCGTTTCATTTTTTGATACTTTTAATGATTTTGGGACAATCTGTATATAATGAAACTAATTTTAAAAAGTAATCATCATAGGACTTCCCATGTGCCAGAAATAAAACTTTGTGATATAGCGCACAGCCTGGATAAGCCGGTATCGCAAAGGTTAAAATGACGTCATCGATAGTATAACATTTATTTTATTAGCGGTGATAAATTGTTCAATTAAAATTTTGTAAACTTCTTGACAAATTTCCGGAAAACTGGAACTGACGAAATGACCTATCCCAACGCGGTAATGCACATAATTTGCTTTTTGTATACAGTCTGTCCAAGATAAAGATGTCTATAATGGAGAAATTGGAAACCATAGGAGAAGAAAAGTTGCAAAAGTTAAAGGTTAATAAGTAACATTTTGTTGTAAAAACAAAAAAAAATGGAATTCTCCGATTATATTTTAATTTTTTTCTGGTGGTATTTAACGAGATAGAAAAAATAAGGGTTCATTGCTTCTTGTCACTTTTTTAACTCTACAAGATACCATTGAGAGATTTTAAGTACGACGTTTTCTTTCTGCGAAATCTAAAAAATAATTATTACGTCGTACATCCTTCTCTTGGACACACTGTATATGACGGCCATTCGAATTTGAATAAAGTCTGTAGAAATCCGATTGCACTTGCGATTGTAAATTTCAAGGAATAAGATAACTCGTGTTAAATATTTAAGGCTCTGGATCGATGGAGTGTCCGACCACCGACGTTCATTTTGAAAAGGTGATCGGTCTGCGACCAACGTCTAACACCAGTCAGCAAATGCTTTTGTATAAGCCACGGGGAAACGCAGCAGACGAGCCCGTTACTTTGGACTGCATCGCAAGCTGTAGCTCTAAAGAAATTTGTCAAAGCTTCGTCTTGTACTACGATACTGCCGAATGCTACTGGTTCGAACACGGTCCGGAAGAGAATGCGTCATCTAACGTTACGGACTTGGATAACAACGTCGCGTGGTTTGTCAAGACTTGTTTTAAAATTGGTAATTTTTCTTTAAAACCTGGTTGGTACCTTCGTGCACTGGATCAGTTCTAAGAATGCATATACTCGCCGTATACTCAAAACGATTAAAAAATCTGTGTATTACAATATGCGAATATTAACCCATAGCATCCCAAACATAAAGAAAAATAAAAAAATACTTTCTTGCTCTGATATTATTTATTTTGTTGCACTTAAGAATACATGTGTGTCGAAAAAAAAACTCGAAACATACAAAAAAATACTGGTGTGTAAACGAACCACTGGGAAAAAACGTTAAATAATGTTTTGGGGCACATAAGATGTAACACATAATTTATATATAATTATACAAAATAAAGTTCAAAAAACAGAAAACAACTAAAAGTATGTTTTTTTTCCAAATAGAACCTGATTTTATGCAAAAAACGAATGCGTGAACGCACCACTGGTAACACCAGGTTTCTTTCATTTTTGGTGATATTTTATAAAGGTATATAAAAATATATAAATATGTATATATAAAAAAATATACATAAAATATATATATATATATATATATATATATATATATATATATATATATATATATATATATATATATATATATATATATATATATATATATATATATATATATATATATATATATATATATATATATATATATATATATATATATATATATATATATATATATATATATATATATATATATATATATATATATATATATATATATAAATGTAAATGCACATTACACTTATTACAAACGTAAATTGTGTGGCTGTGGCAGATTCTACCTCTCCTTCGGGCTTTATTAGCACGAACAATCATGAGGTGACCTTGACTATCATAACGCACTTTATCTATGGCAGGTGCAAAATTTCTTTGAGTAATTGTTTTTAAAGTCGCAAAGCAATGTAAGATTTAAAATCAGACCAATCACAATCAAAAAACAAAAAATATTTCAAGCGGAGCTTTTCCAGAAAGCCTATTTTTTAGTTCCTCACATGATCTAAATCCATCGGATATAGGTGTGCGAGTGTACTCAATCTGACCTTTCTTCCATTTGGCAGTAGCAAGCCTATTGTTTACTGAAAGCATACGCCTTCTTTTGTATTCCATCTGATGAGTCCCATTCAGGTTCAGTTGATAAATTACAGGACTATTGAAGTATGTGTATGTGTATGTAACTCAAAAGTTCGAACTATATCAGTTGGTTCCCCAAACTCTTGTAGATTTGTTATCGTTCATATCTTCTTCGTTAGTATCCACGTCGGGTGGAATATAGACCGCGTCAATATGTTCTGTAAATATTTTGTCACGTTATTTTTAGCATAAATTTAAAAGAAATGGAATGCTACATTGCATAAGTATACGTAAATCCAAAAATACTTACGACTTTCATTGTTATTGTTCTTATCCATCACGATCTCTTCCATAGCCGCCTCTAATTCGTTTTGAGTCAAATATCTCGGAAATGCCATATTTTACGAACTGTAACGTTCACTGCACAAGACAAAAACTAATACTAAAGAACACACCAATGACTTGTCTAGACTTGCAATAACAAAGTTTTGTTTCACAGATAAAAGCAGTGGTGCATTCACGCACCAGTAAATATTTTCAAAAAATAAAGCATAATCAATATAGTATTTCCAATGTATGTTTTCTGCGATGTAATCTACATGCAATAGACTTAACAAAAATGGCAATACAGATCGAAAATATATTTTTTTTACTATTACCGAGGTCTAAAAATGTGTGTTAATTCTATGATAGAAATGGAAATTGTTGAAAAAGTGTTGAACCAAAAAAGTCTCAACCGCTCCAAATAAATAATAGAAAACTTGTAATATTTTTGTGACGGGATGCCATGGAACACCGTAATGGTTTTTGGTTTTGGTAAGCGAGATTTTAAGTATATATTATATATTTCAAATCAACTGAATTGAAATTGAAAGTCCGATTTATGGTCCCACGTTTTCAGATAAACCGTGCAACAAATCCTGGATTTTCGAGAGGATACCTGGAGCTACATTAATTGGCAACGATACGAAAATCTTGCCCGGAAAAACAAGGAAGGAATGTCAGCAAGGCTGCCTGGAAGAAACATCTTTTCAGTGCAGATCCGTAAAGTTTAAAATTGACGATAACGAAGTCGTACCGTCTGCGCAACTACGAGGAACATGCATACTCAGCAATGCCGACAGGCATCTGCTGCCTACTTCCTACCGAATTTCTACGTTCGACGACGAATATTTTGAAAACCAATGTACGGATTTTTTGGACACCAATAACACGAATAAAGGTAAATTTTGTTCTGCCAGTAAGACAACATCTAGTAAATGCATATAGCTATTATATAACATAGGGGTCATAACCACCTCAGGCGGTTATGAAATTTCATATCATACCCTTAATTTTCGTCCACTAACCTACACAAGGATATCCACACACTTAACTCGTTTCTTCCGTGAAAAATTAATAGGATTTGGACATATTTTGATAAAATATTGTTAAACACGTGTCGGCGGACGATGAGCTTTATTGGTCGATTTGAAATGTTTTAAAATAACTCGCGCATATTGAATATCCCAACAGTTTTTAATTTTGACTTCAAAAGTATTGTCAGTCCAGAAAAGACATGCATATATCTCGTAGTTATATGAACAAATTGAATTTTTGACTGCATCCAATACTATCCACAGTAAATGTCAACCAATTTTTTTCAGCTACGAGAAACGAATTCTGCGCTTATGAAGAATACGACAACGTCATATTGGATCACAGTGACGTCATGTTCCGAGACAAAACCAAAGAAGAATGCCAAAACTTGTGCGACCAATCTTCGAGCTTCAACTGTAGAAGCTTCAGCGTGATCAACGGAAATACCAATCGCTGCCTCCTGCACAGCGAAGACAGCAAAATTCACGGGCCCAAACTTTTAAAATCTCACGACCATTCCAAATATTACGAGAGAGCTAGATGTCTGAATAGTAAGTCATCTCGTCGCTATCGCGACCTGCAACCTTAAACGCTCTTTTCCAGTAAACGTTTCCTGCAGTGAGAGCTACGTGACGGTGAAATACTCTCCGGAAATTGATTTTCGCGGGAAAATCTACATGCAGGGTTATTCGGAAAACGGCGAGTGTTACGCAGTGGGTCAGGGAAAACAAACCGTCGTCACCTTGAAATTATCTTTTCTGACTAGTCAATGCGGTATTATCAAAGCTGATAGTCCCTATAATAGGTAACGTTGGTTGTTTGTTTTACGTCGTTTGTTTTTTTTTTTCTAATAACGTCGTTAAAGTAATTATTATGCACTTTTAAAGCATGCAGCCCAAGGATAATTAACCAAAACGCCCAGAAAGATCAGTCCTTTTGCGACAAATTTTGTAAAAAAAATATGCATGTAAGTTATTATCGAGGTGGCTCTGAAAAAAATATGTTTGCTTCCTAGGCCACATATTTCAATCTAATATTTATGGATACTTTGCCGCACACAAATTATATGAGGAACAACATTATGCAATTAGTAGCCACAATGTTCTTTCTATTCACCAGTGTCACTACTTAAACAATCTTATTTGTTAATAACAACCATATAGCCACTAAATAGAATATAGAGCATGATCTATGCTCCAACAAATGTTTAGAAGGGATATTTATAATTCCTTGCGGAGTTCAAAATAACGGCCATTTGATATCTGCTGTGGTTAGTTAAACTTAAGAACTGTAAACCCCTATGAAATCTTTGAATTTTTTTCTTGTTGAATAGATCTCTGAAAAAATCCACTAAAATCAACGATACCAATTTCTTTAATGATCCAATGCAGGGTATTTGAAATATAATTTATGCCCCGCTTAAGGCTGTACATCGTTGTAAAATCTTTGATTACGGTTTGATTTTGATAACTGTTTTTTGTAGGATAGATCTCTCACAAACGCACTAAAACTAAAAACCTAACTATACTAATTTCCATAAAGTTGACTTAAGCATTACTCCTGTAGAATGTTAGTTTATGGCTCAATTTTGATAATTCTTTTTTCTACTCCCGTCTATAAAATACCAAATTACACACTATCTAGCGTGTGGGAAGCGTCACTTTCGGAGATATTTCCCACGCTTTGAATTTTGACGTTTGTCAATTCGGACGGTCTTGTCAGTGAATTTATTCGCTCCGCTCGTGTCAAGTAAATTCGTGCCGTTGCATAATATACTATTTTGCTTTATAGATCCTAGTAAAGAGAAATTAAAAGGTTTTTTCGTATAGCATCGACTAAAGTCATGACGGACTGACGGTTTTTTGAAGCGGAAAATCGAGAAGTACTTTTAGAGATTTTTTCAAATTGAAAATGACAGCGGATTCGTGTTCATGACTACCTAAAAGTAACTAGACCAATCAAAGTTTTTAATATAATAAAAAATAAATAGTGTAAATCTTGTAAATAACGATTATTTTGCATGTGATTTTAAGATATTACAAATTTTAATTATACAAATTTCAAAAATAATGATAAAAAAGACTTATGTTTCAGTATTATCTTAAAATAACAGCAAATCTCAGTATTCGAAAATTATAATGTAAATAAAATTAAAACATAAATTAGCCAGTAAATTTGATTGCCAAATATGGCAAACTTGGTTATATAATGTAAACAGTATACCAACTTCATTCAATTTTGATATTTCTGTTATTTTCATTATAAGAAGAATTAAAAATCCTTTTTAATTAAACAAGTACAGCGTTTTAAAGTCTGTTTAGTTTATATCTATTCCTCTCTAATCATATTTAATTTTAAGAAAATCGTTAGTGTCTTTCAGTGAAATCTATCCGACAAAAAAAAATCAAAATTGAGCTATAAATAAATATTCTACAGGAGTAATGCTTAAGCGAGAAGCTCGCAATATTTCGAGCACCCTGTATTTGAACTTCATGGAAATTAGTATAGTTAGATTTTATGTAGTCCTGAATAAGAATTCGCTAATAGCCCTCTCGATATTTTACATCAAAAACTAGTCCCAGTTAGCCATGACTTCAGGTTAGTGCAATAAGAAATATAAGGTTTTAGTGCGTTTTTGAGAGACCTTTACAACAACAAAAAAAATCAAAAGCAAACTGTAATCAAAGATTTTACAACGATGTTACAGCCTTAAGCGGGGCGCAAACGATATTTCAGACACCTTGTATTGAAACATTATAACAATTGGTAAACTTAGGTTCTAAGTACCCCTGAATAATATTTCGTTGCCAATTTATTTTTAAAAAAATTCCTAGTGGTACTTCTCTCTTCTCTCTCTTTTGTTAAATAGTCTCGGATGGCCATGGACTTTAAGTTGAAGCAATCAGCAAGACAAGGTTTTAGTGCATTTTTCAGAGACCTACCTATCGAACAAATAAAAATTATGAAAATCGACCCATAAACAAAACTTTTGTAAGAGTGTACAGTTCTTAAGTGGGACACACTGTATATCCACATGCCATAAAATAACGAAAACTTCATAACCGCCTGACGTATATCAATTTTTCCTATCTAGATACATATTAGGCAATAAATATGATGGTAGAAATTGAAGGAAATTATTTTCTGCGCATGCCTGTATATTTTATTCACTAACATCAACTTTGGGCCATTTTAGCTTTTGGTCCCAGAACATTTAACGAGATCTACGCATATTTTGAGAAAATGCTGCCGTAAAAAGGCCGCATCCAAACTTGTTGGTTGCATGTTGATTGGGCTTTCTCGAAAATTTTGTTCATAAGTTCCTGTAGCATCGGCATAGGCTGGCCTCTGTCTCTATAGTAGCTGTATGATTTTTCCGCATGTACGCCTCTAAATCAAATAATAGGCACAATAACAAATAGGATTGTTGTGAGTTTCAATCAGACGAATAAATGTTATTAATTCTGTAGAGGTGGAAACATTAAAATATTTAAAAAATAGTATGTACAGTTGTCCATTGTACGAAAATTAAATTTACTATTAAGGTGGATCTGAAATGATTTTTTTAGAACACTATTGTCGGGAAGCATGGTGATTCAATACAACCCTTTGATTCAAACGCAGTCGGACAGGATAATTAAAATTGGATGCATTTTCGGGAACGAAAGTCAAATACTCATAGGGACAGGCTTGAAAATCACTTCGTACGTATTTGTTATCGTCCCGAAAAAAATGAATAACCATAGTTTATTTTATCGCCATAATAACAAATTTTGCCTTTTCATTTTAATACTCTGTACTAAATGTGCCAAGGTAATTTAAGTACGGGGCTTCCCAATAAATATTAAATAGGGCTTTGTTTTAAAATTTAAAAAACATTTAAGTCTGCGCAGTTTAATCAAAAGTAATTGAGTAGCTTTAATCAGTTTTCTTTTTTTTTTCTATTTTTCGAATAAATTTTAATAAACGGTCTCGATTTGTTCTGCGTTTGCCGGCAGTTATAAATTTGAAACAATATCAAAAATATTCTAATAATAAAAACGAATTGTTTGAAATACATGGAACGCCCATTAATAAAAGCAATTAACTAGCTTTGTCAAATTTATTTAGTTAAAAAAAAACCTTAATAAAAACGTAGTAACAGTGTATGATGTTGTAGATCACTGCCAAACAAAGGGAGCACTTTGTTAAACACATCCTCAAACGAAACCGTCTCACCCGTTGTAGAAATGAAGGTGGTCGATTTGAGCACTCAACAAGAAACCACGGATACTCAAATCGGTCAAGAACTACAGCTTCAAATAGAACTTAAAGAAAAAACTAGTAAGTTCGTCTTTTCGCTATTAAATTGAATGTAGAAACTGTGATTATGTGTTGCTCTAGACGAGTACGACCTGTGGGCAAGCCACTTAATAGCGATGACCGAGAAAGGTGACGAGTCCATTTTCTTAGTGGATGATAGAGGGTGTCCGACAAATTTAAAAATATTTCCGCCGTTAAAGAAAGTGGTCGAAAATGGTAAAAGAAGGTTGGAGTCTACCTTTCAGGCTTTTAAATTTGCGTCGTCGCCCATAGTGAGATTCAGTGTGATTATTCAGTTTTGCCCAAAAGAATGTCCTCAGGTACTGATCAGGATCAAAATTAAATCAACTTTAAAGATATCTGTTTATATAAAGTTATTTATTTACCGTTTTGATAAAATTATACGTTATTTGTCTTTATCTCTAACTAACAATGGATAACAGAGTTTGGTCAGTTCTGGTAATATGCTGCCAGATGGATTAAAAAAAAAATTATTCCTATTTTTATTGTTAGTTTTAATTATTTTTGAGATCCAATGTGACGATGCTGGAAGAAAAAAGAGAGAAATGAAAGGACATTTGTTTTATGGCGTGAATAGAAATGCATCAATAAAAACAAATTTCACCGATTCCGAAAATAACTCGGCTATAGTCAATCAAATGCCATTGGAATATGTGATGCTAGTTAGGGATCCAAACACTCATTCTGACCGACTGATTGTTGGCGACAACAAGCTTCTGGTTGCTGGATTTAGTAAGTCATCTTTTCCGTGTCCCCATTAAATATGTCACAAGCATTATATTTTATAGACTATGACACCAACGAGGTTTGTATGGATTACTCACTTGTCGTGGGTCTAACAGTAACATGGATCTTGGTTCAACTCATTTTTATAATTTGCTGCCTTGCTCTAGTTAGACGTTACAGGAAACATTACCAAGATGAGTATTTAAGAGCATCAATGGAAGAGATTCATAAAAATTTTGGATTGGGTTTCAATAATTTGGAAAATAGGAGGGTTCGTTGGGCCGATAATGGTGATGTAAATGTAATGTAAAATAAAACTATTTAAGTTACCTTGCCTTTTTGTTGCGTTATTTTTATTCTATTCAAAACTTATTTTTCAAGTTTTAAAACCTCATAGCATGTTGTTATCGAGATTTAATTAAGTCTTTCCGTTTCATTTTTCGTGAAAATATCACTGGATGTGTTTGAAAAACTAGATATATTACAAAAACTTCTTAACACATGCTAACTAGGCAATTATGTCACACCCTCGGGCTCATCTCTTGCCTTTTGCAACTGTTTAGTTAACTCGATTTGCTGCTGTAAAGCATACAAATTCTCCATTTTTCGTTGATTTCTCCTCTCTATATCTTTCAAAACTCCTTTATGTAAAGCTTCCCTATAACATATTAATGAAAAGAACATTTCATATTTTCAAATATTGTTCTTTGATGTTATTCACCTGTCTAAATATTGTCTAAAATGTACATAGCCGACAATTCCTAGTGAAAAAGTGCATGCTGAGGCTAAGACAACTTTGGATGTAAAGGACATTCTTATTTTAAAGTAAATAGTACTTTTATAGGTTATTTGGAAATAACATATTTTCTTTTGGCCGACTAATCGAAGTACCATGGTTAATAAAAATGATAAAGAAGAATTAATAATATTTATAAATCAACTGGAGAAAAGAATACAATCATTCAGAACTTCAAACTTTAAATATTCCTCATTTTTATCTGGTAAAAATACTTTTAGAAATTGCTTCTTGTGTGTCGGGCTTTAGAATGTCGAATCACATAAAGACAAATAATATCTAAAGACAATCAACTCCTGATGCGTTTGACCGGTTGACTATAATGACTATTTTTCGTCGCTCAATTTCTTCAAATTTAACCATGGTGAACATAACCGCGAAAACATGTTTTCAAGTTTTATTGATTTTAGTTGTGGAATTTTAAGTGTTGAATGCTGAAATTAAATAATAAATATGATAAATTAAGTGTCTTGCCGGTTGCCAAACGACAAGGTACTATTTATTATTCGTAAAATGTTTATTCTCCAATTTGTCGCATTCTTTATGCTTATAGGGTTTATTTGCAGATGATTATTATGGAAGATAACCGAACAGTAACTTTCCACTGTGCAGAACTCTCTTCGTCGATATTTCATAAACTTTACGAACAGAAAAGGATGAATAGATTTTGTGATGTAACTTTATATGTCAATAACAAAATATTAAGAGCACATCGCAATGTTTTGGCCTCAAGTTCACCATATTTTGATTCAATTTTAAAGCATCATAAAATTGTCAAGGAACAGTTAACAATAAACTGTTTAGATAGTGAAATATTTAACTCAGTGATAAATTTTATGTACACTGGGGAAATTACTATAAGGCATTCAAATGTAGAAGAACTTCTGAGACTTGCAGACCACTTTATACTTACTAAAGTAATTGAGTATTGTATAGAATTCTTAGGAACCAAATTAAATTTAGATAATTGTTTGTTTACCTATTTTCTTACGCAACGATTCAAGTTGAAACATTTGGGAAGCATTGTAGAGAACTGGATATCCAGTCATGTTGATAACATTTGTGATGGTGAAGAAATTGGTAGATTAAGCTCCAGGGAACTGCAAGATTTTTTTAGAAATAAGGTAAGGTTGGAAAAAGAAAAAAAAATTTAACTTTAAAAGTTTTTATTAAGTGTTAACATGGCAAGAATATATTAAAATATATATTTTTAGAATTTCATACTAACCACCCAAAAAGCATTGAGTGTGCTGTCAAAATGGGTATTAGTAGACCTAGAAAAAAGAGAGAAATATTTTGATAAGCTGATAAGGTGTTTCTACACTAACAATTTAGAACCAGCAGAAGTATACAAACATTTAGACACATGCATACTATACAGCAAAAGTGAATTATGCCTGTTTAGATTTCTAGACTATCTAGCACAAAACAATTGGACTCTTTCAAGCTTCAAAACTAGATATGAAGTTCTACAGGCCAAATATGGACAGGTATGAAGTGATTCCAGAATGGCTATTTTTTTTTTATAAAATATTCAACTTATAGATTGTAATTAATGATTCAAAAACTTTGGAACCAGATTCCAAATCAGAAAAAATAACAGTAACTGAAAAAGTTGAGAGCAACACACCACCAGCTGTTACCAATTCTATTGTGGTTAAAACGAAATTTAAGAGCAGGCAGCAGATGATGTTGAAAAAGTTAATGCTGTTGGGGCTTAGGCCAAGCTTAAGGATGGCCGCCTTAAAAATGCTTACTTGCAAAAAAAAGAGGATTTGGTTGAGTGAAAATGAAAAAGAAGAAAGTGAAGGTGGAGAAGATTCTGATGAAAAAGTTGGTATAAAGTGCCCTATTTGTTTTGCCACCATAAATGACAGTTTGTTATTAGAGCAACATCTAGCTCTAAGTCATGCTAAAGATGTAACATATAAGTGTAGCATATGTTCATTTGTATGTCAGTACCATGGGGATTATTTAAATCATATGAAAAGTCATTTCACTGGACCACCATTTAAGTGTGATTATTGTAAGGATGAGAAACAATTTTTTTTCTTGTTGATAGAATTTTGTCTTGCAGGTGATTTTAATACTGATCAGATATCTAAGTTGATTTCTCACAGAGCTCAACACCTCGATGAGTCAATTTACCATTGCACCTTCTGCTCTTTTAAGGTGAAATTTAGATTTTTGACACTAGGGGATAGTGAAATAACATTATTTTTTTGAACTTTTAAGTGTCGGCAAAAACAAAATTACGTGTCCCACATGAAAGTTCATGCGCCCGAAAAAACATTTAAGTGCGACCAGTGTTCTAAATCATTTAGATTCAAGCAGAATTTGGAGGCTCATTCTCTTACACATTCTGGGGACAAATCGCTCTCCTGCGATTCCTGCGGTTTCCACACAAAGTTTCTCAGTCACATGATCGCCCATAAGAGAATTCACACGGGTAAGGATAACCCTCAATGTAATATTAAAAAAGAAAAAAAAATCTAAACAATATTGGTAAAAAATTTGATTTGATATGCCAGTTTTTTGCTAAAGTTGTTAAGAGTTAATACCCAAAAAAAGCATATCTGCTCTCGATTGCTTCTCTTTCTTTCAAAGAATTTATAAAGTCAAGATGAAACAAAAAGAAAGTGGTTGAAACCTAACTCTTTGTGTTATCCAAACAATTTGAAGGTGATTTGTATCGTTGTTCCTATCCGCACTGCAAATACACGACATCGAAGAAAAGTCAATTGGGATGTCATTCTAAAACACACAATGGATCCGGTAGCAATGGTGGAGGCGCCAGGCCGCACGCTTGTTCGGTGTGTGGTCGTGGCTTCATGGAAAAATCGCACTTGGTGCGACATGAAAGAATTCATTTGGAAGAAAAACCGTTTAAATGTTCGAGCTGCGATTACGCGAGCTCCAGAAGAGATAAATTGAAGGAGCATTTCACCCGTCATCACGGAGAAAATGCGTCCGCTAAGGTGAATTCATGGGTACACTGATGACATTTTATTCAAAGGAGACCCAAATCCACTGCCGGCTTTCATATATTTGTCAATTTCGCAATTTTAAACGCAGATATTTTCTCTGCGAAGTTCAAAAATGACGAATTTTGTCAGTAACATATTATAACCCTTAATTGCTACATCAAAATGTCAAAAATGTTAATAAAATTAATAATAATAAATAATATTAACAAATAAGTAAAACCCAGAAACCTAATTTTCATTAAACAAATTAAATACTTGTGTTTATAAATCAAAGTAAACATTCTTTTTCTGGAATTGAAGGCTGTGTTTAGTTAAGGTAATTTGGGTATTGATAAATAATTTTTCAGAGAACAAAATGTTTTTAATGTTTATTTTTGATAATTTCCAGAGGATAAAAATAATAGAGAACTAAACTAGACTGAAAGATCATAAAAATTCCAAAAAGGTAATAAAAACAGAATAAAACTGACTTTTATTACTCATCTATGTTGTTCAGCTGAATGTATTCTTTAGAAAATATATTATTTTGTATTTTGTTAGTAAAATTTTTCATTTCAAGTGGATGTACTATTAAGCTCTACATTAATTTACTTCATTAGTTAATAATTGGTGTTAGTGCTAAGTTGTGTCTTTCACTGACCCAAAATTTATTTATCATGAAAACTATTCTTAAGTTAATTGCATTTTTCTCATAAAGAAAATTTAGTGATTTTAACTTTTGTTAACATAATTTTTCGGCTTACATATTTAAAAAGAGTTTTTTTTTTAAATAAATTCTTTGTTGACTTGTTTTATAATAGTTTTTTATTTTCTTGGTCATATTTTGCAATACCGACTGTTTTTAAACAAATTTTTCAAAACTTTCATCTGCAATTACTAGACTTGCGATCAGGAAAGGGGCTTTCTGTTTATAGGTGCCACAGTTGCTTCATGAACATATTTTCCACTTAGATTTTTCTTATCCGATATTATATTTAGACTTTTAAGAGTAATCTTTCGTGAATTCCACTTTATATACATTTTTCATAGAGGTTAAATCTATAAGTTTATGAAAACAAACTCGTTGGTCCAATTCAAACGCACAACACAATGGGAAAATATAGGTGGTAATTTTATCTCCCAATTTTCTTCGCATGAACAAGCCAGAGGGTGTGAGTATTTCCTCAATGAAAAATAAGTTAACCTGAAACATTGCAATCTGAATGCAAAAGTTCATTCTTTGAAGATAATGTCATCAGGTTAAACGTTACACACACAGTTAACCGGCGTACTGTTGAATAGGTTCCCTATAAAGCACGACCATTGAGAAACGGATCTTCCAGTGGCTCATCGAGACCGAAAAGTCAGGTAGAAATTGTTGCGTATTTACATTTTTTGGGATTTGCACAACAACATATATCCCTTTTAGACAACGCAAGAGGGCACTTCGTCCGGAGTATCTTCCGCAACTACCACCAACAGCGGCAACGTTAATTTTACTCAGTCGAACAGCACTACAAGTTCCGGAGTCTCGCAGCCTATGGGATCAGAGATTCAAGATTTGATTATGCATCACCAGAATCATTCGCCAGCGGCGGGTGAGTTTCTAAAACTTCAAAAAATCAAAAAATGTTATAAAAATATAAATATAAAAGTTTTTTTATTTGCATTTGTTTAATTTTAACTTCTCGTAAATCATTAAATGTTATTTTGTGTCCATAGATCACCATTTTTACGCTAAGGAGCAAAACTTTTTTCAGCAATTAATTCAACTTACCCTCACCACTTCGGCGATCCATCATCGGATTTTCATCACGCCGCGCACACTCACGCTCACAATATTCATAATCAAATACTTGCGTCATCGGCTGCAGCTGCAGCCGCCGGTCACACGCAAAGGGCTGCCGCAAGCGCCGCTTCGCATCATAACGGGTCGCCATCTTTGAACCATCACATGTTGGCACGATCTAACCACTCTACCGCTACCTCTACAGCCGCGGCAGTGGCTGCCGCGATGATGCTGGATCCTAGATTTCATCACAATGGTTCTGTAAGTATGCCATTTAATTTTGACAGTTGGCAGCTGATCGCTGCCACCCTTAGCTCTTTTTTTAATAAGGTGATAACTAGAGTATTATATTCAATCATCTTAGTTTTGGTTTGTTTTTTTATTAAATTCAAAGCGAAACCGATTTTATGACAAGGTTATCTTATTTAGGTGCATGCGCATCTAGTCGCCTCGTTTTGTTTATTTTTTTAATTTTTTTCCCATTTATTGGGAGTGATGTTTTCAGGTTATATGTGCTTTTTTTAGGTTCCATATCATCCTTCCACTACGCCAGTTTCTATGGCGGCGATGGCGGCTGTACAATCGTCGCAGCAAATTCAAGCCTCTGGGCAACCCGCCGACTATCCGCCAGCTTTGCAAAATTGTATGACATTATTCTAGTCAAACTCGTCCTAGTTAAATTAAAAATTGTAGATATTTTTCGTTATTTAAATTATTTATTATTATATTTGTTATGTCTAATTATTGCAATATAATCTTTTTGTTTTATTTTATTTGAAAATGGATTTTTTTTCTAAATCTACGAGATCATCGTTACGAATTGTACTTTCAATTGTTTATTGCGAAGGTTTGTAAAAAAATGGTTAAAAATTTATATAAAAAGCGACATCTATGATGCCGGCCATGGGCGATTGATCTGAATCTTATCCAAGTTTCATGACTGAAAAGCAAGAACTTTTTTGTTGTGTGAGGTTATAATATCGGTTTGACCAATTTAATAAAAATTTGGAAAAGATAATTTCCTCAACATGAATGAAGAGGAAGACCCCAAGGAATATCGTTGGGAGACTGGTTATGAGAAGACTTGGTAATAATGATTATAAAATAAAACTAGGTATTCAATTTTTCATGATCTGTCTTCAAGGGAGGCAATCAAAGAGGATGATGAGGGCTTCTTGGAAGCATCGGTTGCCGATATTATTCTGAGAGCTAAGAGGAAACGGCAGGCTCAAAAACACGGAGGCACCAAGTTGGGTATGATGAGACATCTATTTTTGCTTTTAGATTGTTCAGAATCTATGTCTAGTCAGGACCTTAAACCAACGCGCATGTTGTGTACTTTGAAAGTAACTCTCTGGTCACAATTGTTTAAAAAATGTTGTAAAGTTATAATTTTAGATTTTAGAAGGTTTTATAGAAGAATTTTTTGATCAGAATCCCATAAGTCAGGTTGGCATTATACTAATGCACAACAAAAGGGCTGAAAAAGTCAGCGATTTGGCTGGTAATTTTAGAAAACATATAAAATATTTACAAAGCATGAGTAACACATCATTGATTGGTGAGCCATCTTTACAGAATGGTTTAGAATTAGCACTATCATCTTTAAAATTATTGCCTTCACATGCAAGTAGAGAAATATTAGTAATACTCGGCAGTTTAACCACTTGCGATCCTGGTGATATTAGAGTTACAATCGAGGTAACTGATTGATAGCTAGCAAGAAAATATTTGGTATCCACTTGCCGTGTTACTTCTAGAGTTTAAAGCAAGAGGGTATTCGATGTTCAATTATTGGTCTGGCAGCTGAAGTTCATATTTGTCAACTTTTGGCGAGCCAAACCAAAGGAACTTACAATGTGATATTAGATGATAGCCACTATAAGGACATTCTATATCAGCAAGTTGATCCACCTCCTGCCGCCGCAAATCTGGAGGCCAGTTTGATTAAAATGGGTTTTCCTCATAGAATGAATGATGAAGGCACTGAAGAACCACTTACTATGTGCATGTGGTACGTGATTTCATTGTATTTTTCAAATTTTACCATCACCTTCATTTAAGTCACATTGATTGCAATGAGGACTCAAGCAAATTAACCACTGGAGGGTATTATTGTCCCCAATGTCTCAGTAAATACTGCGAATTGCCAGTGGAATGTCGAGCATGTGGATTGACATTGGTCTCTGCTCCTCACTTGGCCAGATCTTACCATCATTTGTTTCCAGCCGCTAATTATGAAGAAATACCATTTACAAAACAGGTTGAAATATGTTTTGCTTGTCAGAAGGAGTTTGACAGTAACGAGAAGCAAGTAAGCAAAGATTATTTTTCAAGGAAAATGTTTGTATGGAAGAACTATTTTTAGGTATATCGGTGCCCAAACTGTAGCAAGTTCTTTTGCATAGAGTGTGACATCTTTGTTCACGAAACTTTACACACCTGCCCCGGATGTGCCACCGACTTGTCAACATTTCAAATTAGTCATTCCAATTAGGCCTTTGATTTTATTGATACTATAAATAAATTACATTTTATTTAGAAATTATATAGCTACTAGATCAATTTAATATAGGGGGCAGAAGTGCCAGTAAATAAATTTCGTACGGTCTGTAACATTTATTAAAAATATACGCAGATGTCATTTTGACAGGTGTCAGTTTAGATGACGCATTTCTGTAGTATTTTTTCAGAGTATGCCTAGATCTCGTTACATGTTCATATGAAGGTCATAGTTCAGGAGAAAATGGTGTTGAGTGCAGGTTGGTTATCTAATTGCTATATGTGAAAAACAATTAACAAATGTCAAAGGAACACTGAAGACAACAGTCTATTTCAAAAAATCAAAACTAATACAGATAAAAAAAAACTTTTTTAATAAATTAGGCTAACAAATATTACTATATTATTAATATATAAATAAAAAAAATATGTTAATTTCTTAAATCAAAACAGAATATTGTGTGTTTACTTTTTCTTCAGGGCTTTTATTCTGGAGTCCAAACTGGTAACGGTTTGATTAATTTCATTTAAATTAACTGCAAAACTTTCTTGTACTCCTTGTAAAAGAGTTTTGCTATTCTGGACATTTCCATCAATTTCTGATTGAGTCACTTCAATTTGGGTTATTGTTTTTGCACAATCCGCAGCTATCAACAAGAAGTTTTATGTAACCAACTACAAAATCAAAACACATGATATACCTTTTTTATGCAGTGCTTCCAAAGATTTTAAACGATCAATAGTTTTAGGCAGCAGTGATCTTACACCTTCAGTATTTTTCACCAATTCATATAATTCTTCAACCTAGAAACATCAATAAATAATTTTATGAGAGAAAATAAGGTATTACTTTCCATTTTATTTTTTTCATCATTTTGTTGTACATCTCTTTTCTTATTAGCGATCGCTTCCAATTTTTGAGATAGAGCCGCCAGTCTGCCTTCAATGTGATCCAACTGAGCAGAGTCTAATAGACTAGCTGTTGCACTTAAGTATTGTGCTGCTTCTAGTAGACTACCTAACATTAACATTCAGCAGACAATAAACATATTTTCGGTTAATATAGACACATACCTTTATTTGTTGCATCACTTAACCTTGACAGCTCATTGGAAGAGGCCCCTAAAACAGTTTCAAGTCTATGCAATCTACCTTCAAGTTCTGATATTCTGGCAGTTTGTTGCAAACGAGCACGTTCTGGTCTATAAGTAAACTGGTAGGTGATACTATCCTCATCACACTGCGCTTGAGACTCTGGTTTCTCATTAATGCCCTGCTTAAACTGTTCAAGTTGGGATAAAAGTTTCCTGAAAAAATATTATTAAATTTTAAAATAATTTTAAAATGACTGATGTATACTGAATTTGTGTTCCCTGTGGATCAGAAATTTTCAACACAATATCTTCACCCAAAGATTCTTCCAGTTTAAGATCAGCCAATAATTTCAGAGATTCTTCCACTTGCTCTGATGACAAAGAAATAGGAGCATGAGTGTTTTCTTTTTTTCCTTTTTCTAAAGCATTGACTTCCTCAAACAACTCTTTCATTTCACACTTCAATCTTTGATATTTTTGAATTGGAGTTTCTTTTTCACCTGCAGTGTGCAATTTGCCTTTATAAGTATTTACAGTGACCCCTCTAGTTACCTCCTGCTGCAAGTTCCCAGTCGCCCGATCTGGCATCATATCCAGTCCGAATACGTTTACTAACTCTTTCCGAAAAATCCACATTTTTGGAACTTAAAAATTTACCCTTAAACTTATTATAAGCGTCCTCGGACGAAATGTGTATTCGTTCAATTGGTTCATTTTCGGGCTCGTAAAAATCGGTAACTTGTTCTGATTCTGGTAAATCGTTAGTTTCGTAGACATCCGGTTCGTCATGGGCCTGTAATATGCTCAGACATTTATCTATATAAAAGGATAGAAGATGCACTCACGATTCCGGGTAAATCTGCGTATTTTGGATCGGCCATTTCGATTTTAACTGGGTTCGTTTTCTTGAAAACTAGACTACTTTCGCAAATTTTCTTGCTAAAAGAAAAAATATTGACAAACGACAAATAAACAGTTACGTGATTCTGTGGTTAACGTTAAATGATAAAAAAATTAACTCAGACCAGAAACGTGTACGTGTCAAACAAGAAACGGAGAATTCTGACGTCACTGTAGTACACAATGTTGATAATTCGGAATTTGTTATTTAAATGGAAAAGTAAAATAAAGTTTTCTTCAAAAATTAAGCTGGCCCAAAAATGTTCCGATTCAAAATTAGTTCCTTAAAATTAAATTTAATTAACTATATTCGCAAATTTTCGGATTCAACCCATCCAGTCCTTTTTTGAATTTCTTTTTTGGTTGTTTATTGCTGCTCAGTGAAGTTTTCAAAGATCAAACGAAATAATTTATTTAAGGAAAATAATTATGTAGTGCCAAACGTGCCAAATTTGACATTAAGGAAAAAAGTAATCATCTTAAAAAAATACTTATGGAGCGATTTGTGCTCACTGACGTAGCTCAGCTCAAGGAAGCTGACTTGAACAGCTTCTGCCCAACAAAATTCTTTCACATTGCGATCGCGATCGATCCAGAACACACAAATTTGGTAAACAAGTTTGCAGATCTCAAGAGACATTCTGAAGACGTCACTTCGTTAATATTCATTACCTCTGACGATATTCTCAGATTCAGAGATATCGCATCAGATGTAGCATTCCCGAATCATTTGCAGCCGGTGTTGCTAACGGTAGCTGAATCCGCAAAAAGGTTCTCAAGCGAAGAACCGATGCCCGTAGCTCTGGAAGCTCAGTTGCTGAAATTGAAGATTATCAAGTTGATGTTTGATCGCCATGTCGAGGAAACAAACCGATACCAAAAAAAAAGGTAGCCCAGTCGCTTTTCAAAATTAACGTTACCGCTATAACTTCACGAACGGTTGTAGGGATCTCGAGGATACTTTAAATATGCTATCGAAAGAATGTACGAAAATCACGCAACCGAAAGAGGCTAATTCAAAAAATAAGTGGAAGCCAGGAGAGAATAAATCGTTAGGCAAATCGGATATCGATCTAACCGCCCTTCCACCAGAAACTGGTAGCTTATTCGCCGTGGACAGTATATTTGACCACGTGTCTTTCTTCATTTTAACCGGATTTGAACGTGTGGAAATTATTGACGAATTGATAGTGAATTTGGACGTTCCGATAGTGAAAGTGATGCAAGTCTGCAACGAGCCAAATGCCGATTTCGAACTTAACTGGCAAAGGCACTTGGTTTGTCCTGCCCATCGGCACCTTGAAAATACCATCTTCATGAAATTCGTACCCCAGAGTGGTGATCTTTTAGAAGTGCTACAAGACTTTTTATTTGTCTCCCGCAGTGTCGTTGACATCAAACTGACCCACCTTAACTATATAAGACATTTAAAATTGCACAAAGTAAGAAAAAAGTATAATACAATCCCTATTGGATGTTTGGTCGTTTACGATCAGTTTATGGAAAACATCCCTTTGGAATGCTCGTCGGAGTTCGTAATCTTGGATGCCTTAATTAGAGAGTTAAAATTCCGTTCCGGTCATCGTGTTCCGTCGGTCTGTAAAGAAATTGAGACCACGAAATCGGTACCGAATTTTTTGACCCACGAAAGTAATTTATTGAAGGTCGCAGTTAAGTGTTACGGACAAGCCGGGAACCAATTGTTCCATTCGACAATGACCATTCTTAAGCTGTTTCCTTTATTTAGCGCATGTATAAAGCAGCCGTACGTTAGCTGCGATATGACGCATACGCACGATGTCGGGCCTTGCACGCCGTTTAAAATACAAGAGAAAGAGGTTCTCGATCATTTTACCCATTTATTTCTATTTAATATATTGAAGCGAGATAAACCGCCGATACCCGTCAACCATAACCTGACGTTCTCAGAATATTTAGACACTTACACCCCGATGGGGTCCGATCGAAGTGAAAGAACGGAACCCAGTTCCAACTCGTATCAAACTCCCATTTTAAATTTTCTGTGGACGGAGAAAATAGGCGAAGAAGTCATGATTCAGGAATTATTCAAAGCTACATCCGAATTTAATTACGTCCTCCGGAAATATTTCCCAGAGACAGACAATTTCCTGTTTATTTTTACTGATAGATTGGATGATTTTGGAACGAACATCGAATTTTTTGACATAGCAGTCCGCACACCGGTATGTCTCAGAGACTTTTGTAGATACACCACAGTCATCGATGCTAAATGGTTGCAAGACAACGCCCTTAAGTCATTGCAAGGCCAGAAGTCGTCAACGGTAAGAGAGACTTGTCCCGGTGTCGATAGGGTGAAGACGATGAAACTCTTTGAAGAGTATTCGTATTTATTGGACGTCGACCTAAACGATTCGAATGAGGATCGTGGCTCATCTCGCACAGATTTGGCACCCATTTATGAAGACCTTCTGCAATATCATTCGGGTAAAGATTTAAAGCTGCAATGCGGATCGTTGAAACTCAACAAACTCCTGGGCTATGACTTGGGTTCGCGTTTGATTAGACTCGTTGGTACTAAGACAACTTTCATGAGCCACGACGGAGTCAAAATCACAGTAGACAACTCGAGGTTGGACCACACAGAAGAAAAATGTACGATCAAAGTGTTATGTGATGAATGTACGCTCACGTTACATTCAAGAAAAAGCTTAGTCGGACAGATGGTAACAAACGTGGTTCTGAAAGACGGTTCGAAGTTATCTTTCGCGTTTGGTGCTGACGATCGTGATCTCAATGAGCACTCGAGCGAATTACGTGGGTCGACGCCGAATGAAACTGAAGATGGTAGCACCGCTACCGAACCCGATCTAACGCAATACTACGTTTATTCCGTCGACGAAGAGTATTTCAATCGGATGATAGGAACTTCATCCGCTGTCGAAGAAATCTCGGTGTGCGAAAGCGAAGGGGAATTTTTACGAGAATTAGAGTCGACGATGGATGAAGGCGGAACGGTCTATAAAGTTACAAAAGACTCGAAATTCTTAGAAAGAAAATTATCGGTAGTGAAAATCCCGCTTTTGAATATTCTGGGGGCGGCGCCGCCGCAGACGGAACCGTACAAAAAATTTAGTCGACGTTTAGGCGGATCGGACGTAACGGAGGAAACTACGGCATTAAGTTTCCGGATTTGCTTGCCGAATGGGCTATTTATTCAGGCGCCAGCGGTCGATGGGCACGTAACTATTGTCAAACAAGAATACACGTCAAAAAAACCGCTCGACTCGAACGTCGATTGCGAAGAATTTCGACTATTCACCAACCAAGGATTCGTATTAATCAAGAATGTCGACGGCACGATCAGAATTTTGAAATGCAACGGTGACGTCGTCGACTTGGATCATTCGGAATCTGACTCTAGACGTCGCAAAACTGACGAAGATATTAGGAAGGAATCAGCGAAGATGTTCGGCAAACACCAAGGTGACAATTGTATCAGTCGAAGAGGTCTTTTGAAGACTAAACGCAACACCATAGCGGACGAGAGAATGTTAGATCTTTTGAAAGCTTTCGATGTCCCCTACCCAAAGAAACGAGTCACGACATTCGACGGCAGAAAGATTAAAATCAAAGGCGATAAGATGTCGTTGAAGCAAACCCATCACCTCATCGTCCAGCAGGATTTTGTCTCTGAAAATATTTACCTCGAAAGGAGCGACGGACTCAAAAGCCTTTTCCGCAGCGACGGTTCCAAAGAAGTGGTTTTCTCGGACGGAACGTCCATAGTCAGTTACATCGACGTCGTTGACGGTTTTGAAGATGATTTCGTTTTCGTAATGATGAGTTTTCAGTACGATCACGCAAATTACGCCACTGTTCGATACGACTTCGATAAAACCTATCGAATTGACTTAAAAGATGTTGTGTTGAAAGGAAATGGCAACGATGCAGGGTATACCTTGGAAACTGCGGAAAACATATGCGTGTCGGTTTTGGCGAACGAGATTTTGTTTCGAAAAACCTGTTCTAAATGTGACGGGGTTTGCAAATGCGCTTTTAACATGAAACCGTTCCAAGACAGATATTGGACTCCAAACGGATCGTTCATGGTAGTGGAAGATTCATACGGTAAACGTTTCCGCTCGGATTTCGTAGGGAATTGTTCGAAAGATCCTGAGTATATTGAAACCGAGTCGAATCGTTTTGGATGCAACCACTGCGCAAACAAAACGTATCACAAGCTTTTTGTCGTGAACAGGAATTTATCTGGCGAATTATTTTGGGATCATGACAGCCTCGCGAGTGACTCGTCACTAAGCAAGAGATATGAGGTAACCCGATATCAGCTGCCGTTCAATCCAAAAATAGAAGTGTTGGAATGGCGGAGGAATGTGTTCGAGAACTATCGACGCAGGTTTTTTAATCGGAAAAGGCTAGAACGGAATAACAAGAGTAATATCCCGTGTTATACCACATCCAGAATGTTCTACAAAATGATTTCAAAGGACTCAATAAAAACACTACTTAAGGACATGCAACGTAGCTATTCGATGACAAATTTCGCTCAGGGCGACGATATCGTTATGGAAAATATTGCCGACTTGGTCCGCCAGCTAGAAGAATGCGACAGACGAGAGTCTGGAAATATCGTGGAACTTGGAAAAGACACCAAGACTGCCAAGGACTCGTCCGGGTGTCCATGCTCGAAGAAGAAGATGACCATTTCTGAAAAAATAAATAAGTGGAGGGAAGAACGTTCGAGGTATAGAAGAATATTAGCCAATTTAGCTCCGCCCAAGTATTTTGACTCGGAATTCTGTCAAGTCCGTGAATAAAAATAAGATTCTCTGCGACTTTTTGTCGTGTATTTAAGAAAATTTGAATACGAATGGTGTCAGTGACCCCAACGGCCATCGCGAAATGACACTGACATTTGTACCGACGCTTTTTTTCATTTTTTGTTTCGCGGTCCCGGAAAAGTCTTTCTTTAAATAAAAGCATATTCTTTCATAATATGTCGCCAAAGGGTAACTAAAAATTGAAATGTGTGTGTACTGGAAAGCTCTGCTCGGCTACGGATTCGTATTCTGGACGTTACTCTGCATCACCGATTTTGTGGGAATTACTCAAGTACACAACTATAGAGAGAGTAAGTTATTCTTTTTGTGTCTTTAAGAGTAGTCCATTTAAGAACTCTTCAGGTGTTGATTGGTTCCGGGAACCACCAGACGCTGGCAAAAAATTTCAAGACAATTTGGAACCTGATTCGCCGGATTACTCTTTCATCAAAATCGGTTGGTCGTTCCTTCTGTGGAACTTGGTGGTCTTCATTTGCTCTGTGGTTGTTTGCTATATTGGACGTTACGCGGCTTATCTGATATGGAAGCGATATCAGAAAAGAATGTGAGCCTCCAAGGTAGTTTTTGACAACAACGGTCAAATTTATGTTTTCAGCAGTACCAAGGTTGTACCTCAGTTGCCTAAATCAAATGACCGCATTCAAAGAAGTTTGACCACCTTCAGCAAGATACCGGTAACGGATCTATTAATTTGTCAAAGTTTAAGAAACAAATATTTTTTATTATCTTTTTGTTAAATATTTTCGGCGTTATTTACTACCATAATTTTTTACGTATCAAAAAAATTATACTGTTAGAAGTTCACGTCCTGCAAACAAAACAAATAACAGCAGGAGAAATGAAACTCCCCTTTTTTAAAATCACTGTCGTTAATGCGGTCGATAACAGAATCGACCAATGGCACAACAAAAAATATGGTTACTGAAACTTAAAATGATAGAACTAATTTTTTTAGAGGAAGATAAATGCTGAGAAGAGCTGTCCCAATCTACTAACACGCAGAACTGGAAGTAGCCTATCGACTCACATGGATGAGACCAAAACTCTTTACACCAATAATTCATTTAATAATAATGACAGGTAACACCGATTTTAAAATCGTAATTAAAATAGATTTTTTCTACTTTTGGTACAAAGCTACTTAATTGCCGAACTAAAAACAAGAAAGTACTTGCTTAAGCCACTCTTGGGCAGCATTTGGTGCAGACGAAAGGAAATAATTTTTTTCCACTAATGAACAAATAGACAGAAACTATCGAACCTGATACTTACTAACTTTTCAAAGAAACTTAAACAGGCTACTGTAATATATCTTACAAAACTTCTGGATTCCTCCTGCGTCGGTTTTTGCATGAACTTGCTCACGTTTCGCCAATCACCAACACCTTACCTCTGCTCTTCTGTTTAATAATTTCCACATTAAAGATATTAAGCGTTCCATCAAAAAATACATTTCACCACAACGTTCCAATAGCAATCAGGCCGAAAGCAATTCTACACTTGCTACTGTGGTCCTTCCTTACATACAAAACATCACTGACCACATATCGAAAGTTTTAAAGAAATATAACGTCAAAACCAGATTTACCACTTGTACAAAAGTCTCCCAATATCGTCGGTCCTTCAAAGAAAAAATTCCATTCGAGATGCCAGGAGTTTAATATGTGGCTAAGAATACTTTGGAGAGACCGGAGGAAAAATATCAACTAGGCTCAAAGAACACCAAAGAGCCTTACGACTAAGACAAATAAACTCATCAGCTGTTGCCGAACACACTCATGAAACCGGACTTAAAATTTTATTCGAAAAACCTAAAATTCTTGCATGTAATCAATTCTTCTACCAACGAAAAATCCGAGAGTCTATAGAAATCTATAAACAATAAGAGTTAGATGCTAGCTAGTTTCAGTCAAGCTCTGAAGAAGCCAACAGGATGATTGGGGAAACGTCAGCAAGTTCGGCTCAGCAAAAACCGAAGCAGCAAGAATCCAGAAGTTTTGTAGAAACTGATACTTACTAGTTGCTTCTGAACAATCAAATAGAAAGCACCCTCAGCGAAGTAAAATGAAAAAAAGAAATCCCATTTTTTTTAAAGGTAGTTTGTAAAATTCGTTCTGTGGTTTGGGCTATCATGTGTCTTAAAATTTTAAGAGCTTGAAAATGTAATGTCGAATTTCTCGACAAAAATACCAACCCTTTGTAGCATCCAGATCGAAAATCCAAGCAAACGTTATAGAGATGAACTTGTAAAATACCAAATCGCCTCGATGAAAGACCACGCTGCTTTATCGATGAAACTGGAAGCGGTCACTATAGAGAAAAAGGAGTTGTCGAAACAACTGGCGTTAGCGCAAAAGGAGAATCGCGCGGCCAAGCAGCAATTGGAAGAGCTCGTCGAAGAAAAATCGGCGTTGGTTAAAAAGTTGGAGACCGCCACTAGGGAGTTCAAAAATAACACGAAATCAAAAAAAGCGGCTTTGGGAAAGTTGGAAGAGGCGACTGAAAACGCGGAGAAACTGAGGTACCATTATGAGGACGTATACTAGTCCCAGAATTATAAGAGGGTAACGTATTAGAGAGATTTTTAATCTCTGAAAACTCAAGTAAATATTTTTGTTTTTGAGCACGTACATTTATGTCTTTTATAATTTGGAGATACCTAATGAAATAAGGTTAATATTTGATTGCTCCTTTGTAATTCTGGGGTTACTATCGTTCAAGGTTCAATTGGAGGCGTTTTTTTTGTATGTAGATTGCAATTGGAACAGGTAAGCAGAGATAAGGAGATTTTGGAAAAGAAATTAGGTTTGCTGGAAAACGAATACACAAAGCTGCACGAGCGGTTTATCGATTCACAGAGGACTGTTGTCTCTACGGTTGACGAAAATGTACCAGAACGAGACAGAGATCGTGACAAGGATAGCCAATTCATTCAGGTATCAAGTACTAGGTTCATTGAAACTTTAAATAGTTCGAAATACCCACGCGTTTATTTTGAATATCAAGTAAGTCCGTATGAAACTTAAAAATGGTCCTATGGGTAAAAGTCATTAAATAATATTTAGTTAACAAAACTAGGTAGAATAATTTATACATCAACCATTGCAGAATTTTGTCTATTTGACATTACCAAAAACCAATCAAAGCCTACTTTAATTTTAGAAAACATTAGCCGAGAACAAAAACCCAACAAGAACTAAAAAGTAAAATTGCATATTTAGTAGTGTACTTATTTTTGAAATAAAAATATCTGGCAATAAATTAATATTTTCCAAGAATTGTAACACGTTTTATCGGAACGGTAAGAAGTATTTCGCTGTCTAATCAGAAATTAAATTTAAAATACACAAAAAAATATGATGATATCTAACTTTTATCACCCTGTATCTCGGTAAGTATTGACTTTAGGATGTTGGTTTATTTTTTGCAAATCGAAATATTTTCCTACTTATAATCTTCTGGTATTCTATGGCCCATTCGTTTTGAAACACACAGCATTTCCTTTAGAATTTGTTTTATCCATTCCCTTTTTCTCCTAAATCGGTCGCCAATTTAAAATTATTGTTTACCAACGGTTTTACTCCATTCAGTGTATGTCATATAATAAAAATAAAATCATCATTCAGAAGATAAGTTTGCTGGCTTCTTCCTGGGCTTATCCCTTCGAGTAAAAATTAATTTAATTAAACCTTAGTCACCTTGATCTAATTAACAATAATTTTATTAACTCGGCTACGAAAATAACTCCCGAAAGTCATTAATTCAATTTTACAAAAACAATAAATTAAGTCAGATCCAAGAATTTAATTTCTATGAGCTGACATATGTATACATAAGTATAGTGAACATAATTAAGCATATTAAGAGCAAGGCACTAGGCGTGGTCGATATAAACATTTTAACATTGAATCTTGTTTACCATTTTTCTTGCTATACGTATCACATACCATAAACTACTGTATTCAAAACTTTACGTGTCTATCTAATTGGAAGAAAGCTAAAATAATACTGTTACCTAAAAATAGTCCGGAAAATCTTAATGATTTGTGACCAGTAAGCATTTTGGCAACCAAAGTTCATAAAAAATGAAACAAAAGTTGTATTAGAGCTCTATCAAAAGTATCGGACGATATAAGCTATCGATCAAAAAAATGTATTAATTTTGGTCTTGTTGGATTACTCTAAAGCTTTTGATAGCTTCAATCGTAATCTGATGGACTCAATATTTCACTACGCAGGTTTGTCACAGAGTGTTCGAGATCTCTGTAAAGAATTTCTTACCAACAGGAAATAGTCAGTGTTTTATTAAATTAAAATAGTTCAACTTTTCTGAATACTGATACAAGGGTTCATTTTAGGCAGTTTATTTTGTTGGATTTATTTCTCTAGAGTTTTTATCTCCTGTAATCATCACTTTTACCCCGCAGACTCAGAACCTATTATCGCTGTCGTTATTACGACTTGCAAAATCTATTTGAATTTTTTGAAAAGCTCCGCCTCCAAATAAATCCAAGTAAATCCGCTGTCATGGTTTTGGGAACAAAATGCGCAAAATTCATCGAAAAATATAAATATAGCTTACAAATTATACAAATAATCAATCAATTAATATGTTTAATAACTATAAAAATGTTGGTTTAATTATTGACGATGAACTGCCACATTACCTACTAACCACATTAATAAATAGTTTAAGGTTAATTTATCAAAACAAGTCAGTTCTTGCAAGATAAATGAAATCTATGTTGTGTGAATCTCTGATATTGTCGCAGTTTAATTTCTGTGACTTTATTTATGGTCCATACAAACAACAACGAATACAAAAGTTACAGAATTATTGTCTTAGGCGAATTTATGGAATTCGAAAAAATCACGGATTTAGCTATATTTTAAAACTTAATATTGGCTCAGTATGTTCACCAGAAGACAGCTGCACTCTGCTTGCGTTTTTCATACTATAGTTTATTTAAAAATCCCAGAATATTTCCATAAGGAAATTCCCTACAGATCACATGTTCACAAGTCTAATGTGGGATTTGCGACACCACCGCGTGATTTTTCGCAAATGTTTAAACGTTCTTTTTCCTACTTCTTAACAATCTACCAGTAAATATTGTAACCAATAGTGGTAAAAATCAATTTAAAAAATATCTATTTTGTGCAAAACCGTCATATAGTTAACAATTAATATTGAAAAGAAATGTTAGTTCTTTTATTAGTAATAAGTTTGTGTAATTGGGTATATGTCAGTTATCTTTCTAAGGGTGTTATTACCAATATTTAATGTATATTAGGACTTCATTTTGAAGTATCGCTACTATTTTTGTGCTCTGCTGATTTTTTTAGTTTACTTTGTAAATTGGTGATTCAGTAATAAAAACCTTATTTATTATTATTTATTTATTATAAAAAACGTATTATAAAAAATATAATACATTAAAAAACTTGAGTTTATCATTCGTTTTTTTTAGAATCCGTTTCAAGCTTTAGCGTCTGTCTCTCAAACGGAATTGGATATGAAGAACATTCAGCAGAAAATAAAACAATTGGAGAAGAATCTTGAAAACTTCAATATGAGCAGTAACGAGTTGATGAGCAGGAATAATTTTACACAAGGAGAGGTAAAAATAACTTGGATAAATTAAATAAGAACTAAAAGTTCACATTTTCACGAAATTATATATTTTCACATGACAATTGTTTCGACAGCACCGTGTCTTCATCAGATGTAATATTTACAAACTACCTGCTACTATATATACCGAAAAACGACAATAAAACCTTAATTAATGTTGTTGTGAGAATTTAAGTTTAATAATGGGGAGGTATTTAAATCTAACTGATCGTTAAGCAATACATTTTAATGTCTCATTTTGTTAATCTCCATGATTTCCAATAAATTTAATTTTCTATTTTTTGTGGCTGTATGTAAAATATCAAAATTGTCGTCAAAATTGTGTTTTTCTCCGTTTAAGAGTGTAACATAATTAGAATTTAGACTATTGTTTTTAAACGCTCTTTTATGTTCGTTAATGCGTTTCTTGAAGAATTTACCTATTTGTCCAATATAAATTTTAGGACAAGATTCGCATTTCAAACTGTAGACACCTGATTTTTGAGATTTTGGACATTTCGTTTTATTGTTTTTTAAAAATTTTCCTATTGCGTTATTAGTTCTGAAAGCTATTTTTAAATCACATTTTGACAAATGTTTTGAAACTTTTAATGATATTAAGTTTTTTGTTGTAATTTTCTGTTGAGAGTGGCGTATTAAGAAGTCTGTATATAAAAGAGTGAAATGCAGTCATTTTGTATGTATAAGGGTTATTTGAGCTGTGATGTATGACTGTGTCCGTGTGTAAAGGTTTATGCTAAATGGAAAAATTCAATTTGTTTTGCGTTTTCGTAATAGTTAAGTCTAAAACAATAATATTAGAAGCCATGGAGATTAACAAAATGAGACATTCAAATTAACGATCAGTTAAATTTAAAGACCTCTCCATTATTAAACTTAAATTGTCACAACAACATTAATTAAGGTTTTATTGTCATTTTTCGGTATATATAGTAGCAGGTAGTTTGTAAATATTACATTTGATTAAAACACGGTATTGTCGAAGCAATTGTCATGTGAAAATATATAATTACGTGAAAATCTGAATTTTTAGTTCTTATTTATTTTGTTAAATGGATTTTCATCAAATAAAAGCCACCCTGGATATTTAAAAAATATCAACGGTAAAATAAAAAACTAACCAAAGCGGGCGCGAAAACAATTTCGGTTCGAATGCACATTTTGTGTAATTGACTTGAAATATAATTTGTTTAATTTAATTGGTCATCTTAGTCGGAATTAAGCTTAACAACATTGGAGTCCCAGATCAGGCTCGACGAAGATGACACTTTCAGCTATGCGGAGAGTGGCTATTCCGGAAACAGCCCCAGACAGAAATATTGGTCGGAGAGGGTGGCGGAATTAGTAGGCAGAAATAAGAATAAATTTGTCAAAGTAAGTGACGAGGAGAAAGCCTTTCTTTTCGGTTTAAAAAAATGATATCATCATAAAAGCGCACAGAAAAATCCTTGAACAGAAAATAAACACATATTCTGGTTTATAGTTCGCCCCGTATTATTTTATTTTTGAATTCGTTCATTGAAAATTAAATCGTCGACTTCGTGATAATTTGAGTTTGAATGCAATTTTCCGCAGATTCAAGAACTGGCCATCCAAATGCGCGAGAAGGCCAAGCTCTTGGGTCATATAGGCGTCGTCGAAGATTACGCGACCGATGGACATTCTTCCGGGGAAGACCGCGAGCCGAGAAGAATCGTCAGCAGCTCGCTGGCTTTCAAAAATTTCCTTCGAAGGTCCGTTCACAATCCGATCATTTACTAAGCCGTTAGGAATACAAACAAAAATGAAATTCTGTAGTTTTATTGCATACCCGTTTTAGTCCCATCCTTGCGCCGTTTCACCATTTTAACATCAATCTCTCAATTTTCATTAACTTTCTTACCTTTCCTTACCTTACGCAAGAAACATATGCTTTTGTAGGTGTTTTTGGTTAAAAAACCCCAAACAACTTATTTTCCCCATATGAAGGAAGATTGTTAATTATACGCATGGATTATTAGTTGGCTGTGGTTATTTTATCTGATTACGGATTTGCCCATTTTTATTTAGTTAACAGTTTTTTGTTTTTTTTTTTATTTCGGTTGCTGTGTTCGATGAGTTAGTTTGTATTGTTTAGTTATTAAAATTTCAATTTCCTTGAAGTTCTTGAGTATTATTGAGCGTAACAAGTAACTGTAAATTGTATCTATAAACAATTTCCAGTGAAATGATCTGACAAAATTGACACAGCAGAAGTGCATCTAGCAGAATTAGATCTCTGACAACTTTATATTTAGTAACTACCAATGTTATGTTATTTACTTCCCTAGTTATTTAGTGATTAGTAGGTACAGTGTGATAGTGGTTTCACTTTGTAAAATATTCAACATTCTTTTAAAGAAAATGCTATCATTCACTTCTCTGACGTCCTTAGATAAGTCATTTTCACCTGCAATTGGTCTGTGGAATTAAAAACTGCAAAGATGCATACTTCTTTCTCTCTTATTAAACGACTCTTAAAATCAGTTTATTCCACATTTCACAAGTACAGTATCTTTAACTAAACTTATTCTATTTACATTTAATTTATTTTATTGTTTTTTAGAGAAATGTCAAATATTAAGAATAGGCACAGAAATTTGGCTAATGTGGAGGACATACTATTTCTTGTCAGCTTTGGTTATGCTACCATCAAATTTCAATTTTTAAATTCGCTGTTCGCTGCAAGTTTCTGCTGTAAAATTGGGTTTCCTATATAAGATATTAAGAGTTTATGTTCAACCATGATTTTTCTTGGATCTCGCAGATTATCAGTGAGGTAATAAATATAAGTTTTTAATAACGTCGTTCTAGGCTAATTTAACCTTGAAGACGGAATTATTTTATTAAAAAATAAGAAAAATTTAGAAAAAAAACTATTGTACCTGATTAAGACAGAGTTCTTTAAAATGTTTTGGCTGTTGGAGGCCGGATGGGTCCCAGGATGGTCTGCGGTACAAGAGGCGAGAAGCCGTTCTTTTTTGGTATTAATCAAGAATCGTAAGCCTAATAGAATTGCCCAATCCCATAAGACATACCTTCGCCAAAATTATCGATCGCACGTGGTCGTTTGTGACGTAAACGAAGCCCTTTAACGGTTTTTGTGTGTTCTGTCAATGCATTTGGAGGCGCATTAAACCGTTGTATTTTGTGTTCTTTGAACAATTAAAATAATTTAAACTAGTGAGTAGTGCGCTTATGTTTGTGTTAATTGTATTTCTGTAAAAAAAATTTGGAAAAAACAGTGTTTGTAAGCTTTAACAAATACTTTAAAACTGTATGTGCTTGAGTGGCGACAACTGAAAACAGTATTTTTAACCTTAAAGACTTGAAAGTTTTGTGTTCGTGCTGCTTATTAGCGGTGTTATGAGTTAGGAGGTAAACTCAAAGATTACACATAATAATATAGGCAAAGGTACATTACATATACATTAAATTCACCACAAAATTTAAATTTACCTTTAAAAATGATTCTAAAAAAAACTGCTGTTTCCACCCTATCATTATTTAACCAGAAGCCACCAACAGAAGCAGGATTATCTAGATCAAAAAGACTTCATTATATCAAATATTTTGGTAAGTTTTGCATAAAGTTCATGTTCTCTACATTGGATTTAAGTATTTGATGTGTAGTTTGAGTATTTTATAAGTTTTACTGTAAAACTCAAGCCGCCACATTTTTTTATTTCCTTATAATAATTTATACTTTAATAATATTGTTTTTTGATGAAATAAATATTAAATTAAAAATCTACGTGTAGTAATTATTTGTATATCAGATTCCGTGTTTAGAGCATAAAATAAGATGAATTCATGAAAACAAGAAGGAGAAATTTTTTTTTTTTTGCAGACCAGTGTTATTATTTACCTACCTATAAATAGTTGTTATGTATGCCTAATACATTTTTTGTTTTTAATATGTTCTTTAGTATATCCGAAAATAGGGAATTCTAGTTTATAAGTATTTGTTGATTTTTGTAGAATGTAGTAGAATACTAAATAAAGTTTTACAAGTAAATCGTTTTGTTCGCTAGTTTTATGTATTTATGGGTAACAATATTTAATTAATATATGTATTTCAAGATGATATATGTAAGCCAAACTTGGTTGGAATAGTATTATTTTTACCCTACCTGAGACCCTACCCTCCGCTACTTCCCAATAATTATTAAATAAGTACTAAAACGATTTAATGTTGGCATTAAATGAAAATAACGAGTGGTTATCCAAACAAAATGCTATATTAGCTACTCAAAATACTGAAAGTCCATCAAAACTCGGGTCAGTTTCAGATTATTTCCATGCATTTGCATAGTAAACGTAAAGATTTGGCGGATTAGGCAATCCTATTAGGTTTACGATTCTTGGTGTGTATCTACTAGGCCTCCTTGAAGATGTGATTTGTTTTTGTTCTCTGACGTAAACAGGACATTTATTAATAAAATTCACGTTGACTCAAGACTGACAAAATAACACAAAGAACGGTTGACTTTTCTAACTTGAATTTGAAATTGCCAGTTTCTCAGATTTTCGAGAAATTTAGTTTCGTAAGGAATCGAGTAAGGAAAGTGAAAGATTCAGCAACCACCAAAAAAAGAGATTCGCTATTTTTATTCGCAACTGGCAATACATTTAAGGCAATTTACATTCATGTACACTATATACAAATTATCGACAACGATTAACACCACGTGCCCTGTTCCAGGCCGTTATCCATGGTCCTATAGTTCGTCCATTTCGCCTGTTCCTTAATATGAACGTCCCCGTTATCCAAAACTTTACCAGGGCCGTACAACGGTATTTCTCCTCTATGATTCCGTTTCCTTGATTCGTTTTTACCGTTGTAGGCGTCATTATTCGACGAATCCACGGACTGAAGGCTGTGCGTCTTGTGCAACGAAAGCCTTAAAGGCTTTTTGGGCGGTACCGGTTTCGGCTTACCGTCGTAGTAGTTGTGATAGATCGCCGACCGTTTGTTATTTTCCGCCACTTCGGAATTGCAGTCGGCACTCTTGTACCCGTTCTTCGTCGAGTTACAATCGCTGTCAAAGTCCAAAGACTTGACGCTGCACGAGTTTTGGATTTTCTTGTACGCTTTTCCTCCCGACTTGCCGTGATTTTCACCCGCGTCCAACTCTTCGACGCTTCTCGAGTCGTACCTCGGTCCGATGTGGACTTCCGATCGAAAGTCGACCACCGAAGTCGATTTTCTAGCGTTGTAATGTTTCAAAATGTCGACGTTGTATTTCTCGGACGCCGTTATACACTTTTGCCTATGCTTTTCGTACAAGTTTCCGTCTTTGCCGTTCCTGGTCAAGTCTTGGACGATTTTGGCAGCCTTCTTGTAACTCTTGTCCGCGATACTGTGAGCGGGGTACTCTTTTTCCGAACTCGTCCTCGAAAAGTCAGCGGAGTACCTGTGCTCCGGGTTTCTGCGCCTGTATCTCGAACCGTCGGGTACTCCATTGGAATTCGTCTCGGAATTGTAGTCCTTTTCGCGGTGATGGTGGTGGTGTTTCCTGTACGTCACATTGTCTAAAGGTTCGTACGATTTCATGTTGTGTCTGGGCGATCTGTGCTTGTGAGATCTGTAGCAGTTGTAGTCCGGTTGCGGGCTGGGAGCCGGTATGTGGGTGTTGGAGACGTTCGACAGACTACTCTTCGATCTCGTTCCCGAGTTGTCTTTGCTTTCGATGTTGGGCACGTTGGAGACGAGGGCGGTGACCTGAGGACCTTTCTGGAAGACTTGGATTTCGGCGGAGGCGTTAGAAGGCACCGGCGAATGTTGAGGTCCGATGTTGATGCTAGTAACATTTTGGGTTGTTTTGGAGATGACCGGGCTCGAAGTGGACGTCGTCTCGGAGTCAGATTTCCTGCTGAGCAATTCCGAAACCTGTAACGACGATGAAGGCGATTATTTATCGCTCGCCCTAAAGTGAAGGTTAAAGAAAAGTGTAGGGATCGTCCACTTTAGACTTAACTTCCGCTTCTGCAACTGTGGGCACAAAATTGATGCTTGTGTAGATGCTAATAAGCACAAAATGATATGAAAGAAAAAATGCCAGTCCGTAATTCTCACTATTTCGAAAATAACAGGTGATTTATGATGCATAACATGATGACTAGCATCTTTTATTAGCTTATTAATTTATTTAATTGCATCAAAGTTGACGGTGTATCTGACGATTAAATTCAGTGTTTATATTAAATTTCACCAAAATAAAAACACTTTATTAAAGTTTGGTTCATCTGACCGATTCCTGATTGCCACACCCTAAATTATAATTGAGGTACCAAAACAAACAGAAAAAGAAACAATTTTTCAAATAGTTTTTTTCTAAAATAACCTACCTTTTTAATATTTCGTTATAAAAAATTAAATTAAATTATTTTTTTTATGCACAAACAAAATTTTCCTACTTTCACAGTATCGAATTTTTATAGGTACATTTTTACAGTTACAAAGTAAGCTAGAAGAAAACTAAAGCTCAGAAGAAAAGGCTATTGATTCATAATTTACCACTTCGCTGACCACACAAATATTTTGGTAACTCGCTTACTCAATAACAGACCTTGGCCAGCAATCTGTCAACCTTATAAATAGACCTGGCAGCACAAATTAATAGGACCCAACAATCCGCAATCCCAATTTCAACTAAATGGCGTGCAGCTGAGGTGAATGAGCAAAAAGATTTCGGTGTAATTATCGCAAACCGCCTGAAGTGAGATAAACATTTGTCAAGCATGGCGGAAAGAGGCAACTCATTGTTATCTTGATCCAAAAGGCTGTCAATAGTAAACCTTAGTAAACAAACTATACTCTACTATTGGCATACCAATTCTTGAATGTGCTTAAATAGAGTGGAATTCTTACTATTACTGGTAAATACGCAGCCGCAGCGTAATCAATATTCCACTACATTCTTAAAGTTTTTAATCTGACACCGCTGTATGTCAGACGCCAATGTGGCGATAATTTAAAAAATGAGCAACACGGTTTACGAAAAAAATTCAGTTCAATTATTGTCCTAACCAATCAAAACCAACTAGTCAAAACTAACCACAGCTAATGGGCTATTTAACCAAAACCTTAATCTATATAAATTTATTTTTCTATTTAATGTAAATACCACTTTGTTTTTTTGAAGCTGTAACATTTTTGTACACTTAGGTTGAAACTTAAATTACCGGCAGTATGTTTTGATTGGTTGCAGTTTTAAATAAAACGGTAGTTTCTGATTGGCTGAAAACATCGGAAGGTCGGAATAACATTTTCTATAGTTGGTGCCGTATGTTAAATATAAACACCTCTCTAGAGCATTATCTTTGGATCGTTTAGCTTAGACAATATTTTTAAAAGTGCCAAACCAAATGAGTTACTCTGAGTGGCTAAGGAAATTTCAGTCGGTAAATACCTGCTCTTCCAGATACGAGATTCTGTGGGTGAGTCTTATGTTGTCGGATTTCAATCCCTCCTTGATTTTCCTAGCTTCTTCGCCACGTTCCCGCATGACCTCCAGTTCCGATCGTAACGCTGACACTTCTTGGGCCGTGGATTTCGAAAACGTCGACCCATTTTCCGTGTTGTCAGCCAGTTTTCTTAAAACCACGATTTGAGCTGGATCGGGAGCCGCCGCAAGCAGTCTAGCCAGTTCGTCGCGATTTTTCGTTAAAACAATTTTCCCGTTTACTTCGATGAGTCTGAAATACAAGACCAAATGTTTCACAATGGAGATCTAACGACGCTTTGTATGACCTTAGTAATCTTCAAGGTATAAACAGACACCCCCGGCATGCAACATGTGTTCGTTGATAATTTATTTCTTGATGTCCATGTAACAGGAACATCAAGTTCGCAATAGTTCTAATAATCACATTAAAAATAATTAGTAAGTTTGCGGCAAACTGAATTTGGCAAGTACTGCCACAATTAATGCGAACGAAAAAAATGTGCATGTAATTAGTTTCATATGATAATTTAATGTTTTTCATTAAAATTATTTCACTTAGCAAGGACCAACAGTGGCAAGTGTGGGATTGCTTTCAGTTTCATTGCTATTAGAAGGTTGTGGTGAAATGTATTTTATGATGGAACGCTTAATATCTTTAGTGTGGAAATTATTAGCGAGAAGAGCAGAAGTAAGGTGTTTTAATTCTGGGTTCAGCGACTTGGGCTGAGATAGTTTTACGGGTCTGTAAATAAGAGAGTTGATAACCAATGATTTTTGGGCCGGATGATGATGTGACAATGCATTAAGGTATCGGTCTGTGTGTGTAAATTTTCTGTAAACACAATTACCCAATGTTAGCTCTGATTTTCTATTGATAAGAATATCTAAGAATGGGAGGTTGTTATTAGTATCTATTTCAATGGTAATAAAACGTATGTTAGGGTGTATAGAGTTTAAAGGTCTAAGAAAATCTACTAGGGATTCCTGACTATGAGGCCAAATAACAAAAGTATCATCGACGTAGTGTTTCCAAAATTTTGGTTTTTGATGGAAGAAGGCAGCAGGATGATTGGCGAAACGTCAGCAAGTTCGACTCAGCAAAAGCCGACGCAGGAGGAATCCAGAAGTTTTATAAAAACTGATACTAATTGCTTTTAAACAATCAGTAGGAAAGCACCTTGATTTGGAAAAAAACATCCTTTCAACCTTTTATAAAAAAAAAGTTATATATAATAATTATAATTATTTATTCAAAATTAGTAACTATTTTTCTATCGATTAAAAAATTTATTATTGGTATTTTTAAGATTTAGACTAAATCTATAGAAATATCCAGAAAATAACACTTTCAATAAATTAATTAAGATTTGGTTATAATAATATGGACTAGCTTTTTTTTCAATTTTTTAACCGGTCCATTGTACCCCTGAAATTACGCAAAGGGCTAGAAATGTACAAATAACCAGGCCCTCCCCAAGTTTCGATATTTAACGAAGTCATTCTTTGGGTGAAAATAAGAATACATTGCCAAAGGTATTTAGAATGGGTACCCAATCCTTATGAACTCTAGACGACGTACTGAATATTATCATCACTCGTAATTGTTTAAAGAATAGAGCCTCGACGCACGTTTTCCGACTTTAAACTAACAAACAACGGGTCCGCAAATAATTATTCCCCAACCGGTCATAATTTCACGGTTGGTAAGTTGAGGGTCAATAAACGTAACCTTCCACCCGTGCATCCGGCACAACGTATCAACAGGTTTTATGGTACGTCGACGCAGGTATATATTGTGTCGCTTAAATTGCTGAAAGTTCCTTCCCGAAGACACCATAAAAAACGAGAATGTAAAGTTAATTATCGATCTTTTTCTATATGCCTCGGATGCTGATTAAAATCATAAGTTTCGGAGCATTATGGGTAGAGTTTTGAGATTTTACTTCAGTTTGTTTCATGTTTTGCATCCTATTTGCAGACTTTACTACGATGCTGGTAACTCATTTAGAGGGCTCGTTAAATATTTTTAAAATTTTTGGTAATTCTAGATAACGATCGCCATAAACGAGTAGACATGAACTTGGTTTAATTTTGGGATATATTTAAATATGAGAACGTCATCTTGATTAATAATGTAGTAGTAGTAGATTTTCAGTAGTTTACATTTTAGGAGAGAGAAAAATTATTGTTAGATAGGCATTTTCAATAAGATAAACTTTCCGAATTATTGATAATCTCTGTCATATGATATAAATAAAAAAAATATCAATTGCAAAGAAGATAGGAACATTGTAATTAATGAAATAGTATTTCGTTTAGTAAAAGAATTTAGCTACTCAGGGTATGGTCGAGCCATAACTCTTACTCCTGGAAAATGTTGAGGGAAAAACTTATAGTAAAACCAATAAATATTATAATAAAATGATTTTTTCAAAAGTTATTATTTAAAGTTAATTAATAACAACAAATACTGGTTCTATTGATAAAACATGATGGAAATGTGTGTTACATAAAGAATAATAGAAATAGATGAGTTGGTTAGAATGGCTCCAATTAATCCTCAAAAAATGTTAATAGTAAATATTGCTACACAATATGAGAAATTCTATCCAATTCTAGAAAACATTAATTAAATTAATTAATTATTTTAAATTATAAGCAACATGGTTTACCAGTTCAATTATTGTACTACCAAACCAAAACCTTAATATTTCTAAATATATTTTTATATTTAATTTGAACCGAAAATATGAAATGTTACAAAGATTCAGTTATAATTTGGGATATTTCTTAATTCAAGTCTTAAGTAACGGCCCAATTATCTCATGGTCTGAAAGTCCGTTTCTATTTTTTTAAATTAATTTTACATTGCTCTAATTTTAAAATATCAAATAAGTTCACTAACTTAAAATTCTTCATATAATCTTTTATTATTTATTTTTATTATTTTAGTATTTTCAGTATTTTATTGTTTAAAGCATATTCCTCTATACTTATGTTGCAGATCGCTTGAAAAATTGAAATAAAAAACAATATAGAATTTGAAGATGGGGCTTTAATATAATTTAAATGAACGGTCTAACTTGCAAATACTATAGGTAACAATAAATTATATGTTATGTTTTTTCTAAAGTTTCAGTTAAATCATAAAAAGTATTTTTAAAAGTAGATTAGTTCAAGCTTGCGCACTGCATACGACGAAAAACTGGTAGGAGCGTTGCATCTAAAAATTAAAAGCGAATCGATTCGTGGAACTGAAACGCCTTACGTTCTATTGTAAAAATTTCGCAACAGCTAATTGGCGGAGCAAAAACAATGGACGGCAAAGTGTGCTTCCATCGCACAGTGGCGCCTCAGAACACTTATTGCCTCCTAAGCGCAGATATTATTTTAAACTCTCAGGGCACTGATACTTCAAAAATCGCATCGCAACATATACCATGTCAATTGTAATAAAATAATAATTAAAATATAATATTATAAGGTCTAAAATGAACAACGATTGCTTGGCAAAACCGCAAACGTACGGCAATGCGCGAATTGCAACAGATTTTTCTGTCTCTAACATCGTCGCCTATTCAATTGCCTCGGAAAACAATAGAATTCGAAACAATGAATTTTACAACACAGGTAACTGCGATAAATTATTTTTACGCGACCTTTTCGGTGTGAAACAATTATTTGGGTAATTTTCTTCAAAATGGGTTTCAAGGCGACAGGGTAACTAAACAAATTGCATAACGGAGATTCATATTATAATTAGGGAAATTATGTGGTACTGACCTGTCGGCTTTGCGCAAGTTCGTATCTTCCAGGGCCCAATCTATCCACAACCCACCGGCATTATCTTTTTGACCGGCTACGAATTTTGGGCTCTTGGGATCATACTCAACCTCTACTGCCTGCAAAGTTATGTTGCCCTTGTCCTTGACACAACTAAAAGAGGAAGACAATGCTTATTCGGAACTCCATTTATAACTATGGTTTACGCGGGTCTAGTAACCAGGAGGGTAGAAACTATAGCTGAGGTAGAGTAAATTCTATTAGCTCACTCTATCCTTGCACTTTTGTTTAAATACACAACAATGGTTACTATATCCTTGTAAACCACGCTTAAAGCTCCGCCTACCTATACAAGGAGTTGCTCTCTGAGGTGCATTTGTTCGACTCTTCTATGCACAGTTGAAGCGCTCTGGTTTCTTCCAGCAGAGTCAAAAGATTCAACTCCTCCCGTCCTAACTGATACTCCAGCTCAGCTTGTTGAATTCGAACGTCAATGTTGCTGTAAAACAAATCGCATAACTAAAACAATTGAAAAACATCCACAAAAAAAAGTTTCGAGACAATCATAACTCACTCGGTAATGTCGAGTCGCTCGAGGGCCATCTTCAGGTTCTTTATAGCTAATCTCTTATTATCGATATCAGTCTTTAGTCTTCCCAATCTTTCTTCCGCTTGTCTTTTCTCGACCTCTGAGAGTTCCCTATCGATGGTGCCGTTGTTATTATTATTGCCAGCACCTAGCATAGACGTTAATCTCAATCCCGGCATAGTGAGTTGTCCCTTGAGACTTTGGATGATGTTTTCTTTATCTCTCAACGCGTTCCGTAGATGTTCTAGTTCTTTCGCAGCTAGCTCTTTGGGTATGGATCGAATCGAACTTAATGCGATGCCGTTTAATTTTTTTCTTCTTGGCGTGCTAGATAAGGACACTTCTATACTGGCCATCTGAAATTGAAGATCACAATAAAAAAGTTTAAAGGCAAATTATATTTAAGGATATAGATTGATTGTTAAATTAATTTAATGGGTGAAAATTTTTCAAAGAAACTTCCACAGGCTCCTCCTCTTTCATGTTCTTTGAGACTAGTTGATATCTTTTGTGCGATCTGTCTGTATTCATTGCCACATATGCTGTAAACTCCTGGCATCTCAAATGGAATTTTGTCGTTGACGGATCGAAGATGTTAAAAGATTTTTTTGGACAAGTGGTAAATTTGGTTTTGACGTTATATTTTTTAGGAACTTTTGATATATGGTCAGTGATGTTTTGAATCTAAGAAAGGATAACAGTGGCAAGTGTGGGGTTGCTATCGGACTCATTGGTTTTTGGAAGATGGAACGCTTACTCTCTCTAATGTGGAAATTATTAGAGAGAAGAGCAGATGTAAGGTAGTTTAATTTTCGGTTTAGTGACTCGGGTTCAACCGACAGACATTCTTTAGCTTCGCTTCCCTGAAACAAGTCAGTTTCATTAAAAACCGATGTAGGAAGAATCCAGAAGATTTGTAAATGAGTGATAATTTTAATTTAAACACATTAAAAAGGCATTTTTCGAGAGTACTTAAAAATAAATGCTCTAGTTTCGATTTATATATAACATAAGACTGCTATTAGAATAAAAATTTTGTGTTAGAAAAAGGATCAGCAAATATTATGAATGCTCATCGTTCTGACTCTTGTAGTAATTCAAATATAAAATAAAAAGTTAATACAGTATAAAGCTTTAGAGTCTTGCATGATAGGCACGAAGAAAAGGCACAAAAATTGAGTAATATTTTGTATATAGTAAAGAAAAAGCAAATAAGACGTGATTATCAAAGAATTTTTGAATTTTAATTTAAACTGCTTCTTTCATTTATTAAAAGTAAATCAGCCTCCGAGACTTTTTGTTTTGTAACGTCGTAGTGATAATTTTGTGATACAACAATACGTTTGTATCACAAAGTTATGCAGTTTTCGCATTTTTCCATCAAAAGCCAATTTGTATCTTTTAATTTCAAAAAAATAGGATCTTACTTTCTGATATTTTGAACCATTTTAATCTCTTTCCATATCTTCTTAGTCTAGACGGGGCCATAAATGATGATAAATGATTTTACGAGATTATTATAGTTTTTAATTTTTATTTGAGGTTTAAAGCTATGTTGCATTCTATCTTTGTTACTACCAAAATATAACACACTAATGATTCTCGAAGAACTCGAACAAAACAGAATCCGAGAGCCTGTGGTAACGTACAAGGGTGCATGCTAAACAAAATCGGCCCCTGGATGGAACCCCGAGGCACTCAATTCACAACCATTTCGCTCGTGATGTCCGTTTATCCGTCCGTAGAAACTGAAACTGCTGAAATACATATTTTTTTCAACAAAGGTGCTGAAACTTCTGAGTAATGAAAAATGGAAAATAAAAGTTTACTCTTTTCTCAAGAAGATCTAATGCTATTGTTTTTTCAATTGCGCAAGCACTAAAAATGTCATCTGAAAATGTAACCCAGATTCGCAAAATGGCAAAGGCTGACAATTATCCAAATATTCTCTAATTAACAATTAACAAATGATGAGATAAGATAAAACAAAATGCTACTTAAGGAAAAAAAAACATTATTTGTGAGCTTAATCCAATGTCAGTTCATCATTTCTTTACCCACAGAATAAAAACTAAATAGATAGAAAATCTGCTTTAAAGTTTTCATTATAGGATAGGGGAAAATCTGATAAAACAGAATTGCGCAATTCCGCAGTTACTGTTTTCCGCATTTCAATCATAATAATTATACGGACCAATTACGGTGGTATTGATTTTCACCGTACGTTTTATCTCGTGGCAGATAAAATCTGCGACGTAATGTTTTCGATGTTCGATATTGCCGAACAGGTTTTTTTGATACGTTTTTTAACGGGCATCGGAATGCGGTCGGGAACAAAAAAGTTCCAAAAGCAAAATGCTCTTATTGAATACGATCAAGTTGGTAGGCAGATGGGAATCAATCACCCGATCTTGAGTCGTCGCGAACGTCGAAGAAACCAAAACCTATACTTAAATAGGTTTTGGAGTAGTTAAAAATATCGCCAATCATCTAGGCGATTGTCTTGGTACTAATGTGTAACCTGAGGGCGGGTACTTTTTTGGGTATATTACTTACCTTTGCTTCCAAGGTTTCTAATTGCGCCATCCTCGGCTGTATCACTGTTGGTTGAAGGGTGTTCTGAAACAAATGACTTATTTTTATCAACACTCGTTTTAATAAATTGACGATGTACTCGCAAAATGAGACATAAAAAATCTCTTCTACTACATAAATACAAACAAATATATAGTAACTAAAAAGCATGGTTTTATAATTTTTAAAAATTAATTATTCCCTAAAACAATATCGAAGATTTTATTAATTTTTAAATTTATTTTCATCACCAAACATTTCGAAAAAATTCGGCGAAACACTCACAATTGTACTACATATAAAGGAAACAAACAAATTCGGCTAAATAAATAAAAACAAAACAGTAACTAAAACATTTAAGCTTCATGTTTTTGAAATATCTTATTATACTATGCAGCTTGTGTCTAACTTCATTGATTTTTTAATTGTATATAAAGGTCCCTTCCTACATCCAGTTCTGCGAGGTCTTTAAGCAATTTCGTTGGGATTTCCCTGATGGTTTCATTAATAATGGGTATTATCTTTGCTACCTCCATTTGCCAAATCTTTTTGATCTCGACGGTTAGCGGTAAGTATTCATTTATTTTTTCAGTATGTTAAGTTGTCAAATTGGGAATTATAATGTCTATTATGTACTTTTGCTGTTGGTTATCTTCAGTATAAGTACAAGATCTGATATATTGTTTGGAATCGGTTCGTCCGTCATAATACGTAAATTCGCTAATTTTCACAGATTTTTGGTGGACTATACTGGTAATAAGGTCAAGGTATCTTTTACATAGAGCCTGATGGATTACATTCACCATTCTGTTGTGTGGATCTAGGTAGGCTTTAGGTGCTAAGATGGATCACTCAGACAGCAAATGATCAAAAGGCATTTTTCATCACACAGACGACACATCACAATTTCTACTTTCTCTTGAATTATGTACTCTGTTCTTCTTCTTCTTCTTCTTATTAATATTATTCTGCTGTGCATACTTTTATTTTTTCGTTTTAATACGTTTAATTAATTTAATTTAATTACGTTTTTATGGTTTATTTAATTTGTTTAATGTTATACATGTTTAGTTTTGTCTGTATGTCTGTTGTGTTCTTTTTATTAGGAAAGGTTGTTAAACGGAACGGAAAAGTACGATTGAGGTAAGAAAGTCAGGAATAAAACTTATAATTACTATTTAATGTATTTATTATTTATTTTTATTCTTTTCCCATTATTTTTATTTTTATTTATTTTCATTATTTTTTTAATAATAGTGTCATTATAATCTAATTCTTTGAACAAATTTAGCACTCAAATTAACTTAACCTAAGTCTAGTTTCGTCATCGTCTGTTATCACCTTATATTTAGTTCGAAAGGGAACATTATGCCTAATGGTTGAACTACTGGAAGTATTTCTAGTATTTTCTACTAATAATTTTCTAATTTGCTACTGTAAATAAAAAAAAAACAATATTCCGCTTTCTATTTGATCAGCTTAGCAGATTGGATGTTACATACTTTGATCGTTTTGATTAATTCCTTAATATTTCCGTGTAAGTTAAAAGCGCACGCATCTGATACGCGGATAGTTCTGATCCAACGGGATGCGAAACGTAATATTACTTATTATTGTTGATTATGGTCCGGTGCTATGAATACGATCCCGCTAGGTCTCCATTACTATTTTCGCAAATTACTCGTTACGTGCGCCAGAGCTTTTATTTACGAACAGCTCATTTCTTTTTGCGCATTTTATCATGTAAGTTCTCCTACAAGGACTACTTGCTAACAACTATGTATTATAATAATAAGAATACACTTGATTTGTTTGTTTGTTATTAATATAAAAAAGGCCCCCCCGTCTAGATTATATTAACCGTCACAAAAAATAAGAACAGTGTGGGAGAGAATAAAAATAAAAATAAAAATTAATAATCACACGGAAACAAGAGATATATCTAGTTTTACAACAGTCTGAAAGCTTATTTGAAAAAAAAACTTTATATCTGACAATTTGCAATAAACTTCCTTTCATAAAAAATAAGAAAAAAGAAAGAAATTCGAAATTTAACAAATTTAATATTTTAAGAGTGTCACCTTTTTCTAGCATACAACATGCCTTGATGGGAGTTTGCTCCAAAAAAAGACCCAAAACTCTAATCGACGCTGAAGCGTTGCTATGGGCGTTTAAACATAGTACAAAAAAGAAAAAAAATTAAAATTTTATTTAATTAATCTGAAAGCGAATATTGTTCTGTATTTAATTTAGATTTTATTAATTTAGTCTCGGTAGATATTCCTAATTTTTTATCTGGCTGGTAAAACTATGCCAATTGATTATTGCTACATACATAAATACGATACCATTACGTACGAACCAGAAGAATCGAAATATATAATAGACAATAACATTGGTGTTGTCATCAAATGCATTAAAGCTTATGAATAAACAAGACGAAGTAATAAAATAAATAAATAAATATAAATAATTTATATGCAAATTATATATTTGAGCCAGCCAGAATCCTTCAGAGTATCTGATACGTGATTGAAGGCTCAAGAACAAAAAATGCATGGAGTTGAATATAAAAAATAATGCAAGCTAAACTGGGAGAATATCCGGAAGTGCTTTTAGTTTTAATTCTTAGGGCACTCGCAGACAAAGTCAGGATCGCCGCGAGGAGCTTCAACCTCCGGAGAAGGAACATTAAGAAAAGGCCATGTACAGACATAAACGTACATTTGAACATTGCCCAATCTCCACGGTTTTGGCACGTTTATGAGAATGTGTAGAAATTATCTTTTTTATTACGCTTTACTCAAAAATATCAAATTATCTACTGAGCAAGCATGCTCAAGGTGTCACCTTAATACGCGAGCTTCATTAGCATTGATGTTGCGTTCCTTATTTACATCCGATCAATCTTCTTGCTCATAATAGTTCGCTAATTACATCTCTGATTGAGGTTATGTTAATTTAGTTTTTGGTTCTTTTCATCAAGCGCTTTATGAAAATACTCGAAATTAAGTAAGACCAAGTATACAAATTTCGTCTGATGGCTATGATTAAGGCCCAAAATTGGCTCAAAGATTGACATGATCTAAAACAATAAAAAATAAATTTAAATGCACGGGTCAATACAAGCAAAAAAGAGGTTGATTAATTGTTATTATTTGATTCGATAGTACGTTACTTTTTATTTGTTTACAATACACGTTTGTAATACAAATATAAATATTAAACAAACTCGTGACTAAAGTGACTTACTTGCTTCTTAATATATTAGCAGTTCGTAATACAAAAGCTTTTTGTTTGATCCTCAGAAATGTCAGAAATTAGCGCCATTAACATAATTTCAAATATCGAAATCAATCAAAATAATATGTATTATCATCAGAGTGGAAAAAAGCTAGATTCATACCATTAGCAAAAATATCTATTCCTCTGTCATATATATGTTACACCCAATTAATATTCTTTCCTCTATCTTTTCAAAATTCTATAGAAAATGTAAATATGCAAAAATATAAGAAAATAACCGTAAACACGATATTTTGAGTCATTTAAATTCTATACAACTATTAAGAGCTTAGGACTTATCTTAGATAAATACCTGAAATAGATATATCAACACAGAAATGGTCCTAACTAGAGAAATAAATCAGTTTAAGTATCGGGATACTGTCTATGATATGTGTTTAAAAAGTAGTAGAGAAAAAATACAAAAACTTACAGTCTCGTATCTGCGTTTTATTTATGAAAGAAAAAAAGCGTAACCCTACCAGTAAACTGAACTGAATGCCTGTTTAAATATGGATAATAGAATGTATCTAGATAGAGTTGCGTTCTTACTTTTGGGTTTCTACACTCTTGAAGTTACATTTACTAACATGATCTTTTTTCCTCCCAATTAGATTCAGAATTTAAGAAAAGAATTCTCCAGAAACCATATTCAGAACAATGAAATACCGTGGCAAATGAATATTATTGCCTCTCTCTGGAAAACTTCCCAAGGCCGCTATATTACGTCATCATCAACTTAATTGTTATGTATGTGTCACTTTCTTATTTTATTATTTCTGTTTTTCCTATTTTTCTAACTTAATAGACCTCCAGTTACTTGATTAACTTTGTAATGTTAAACCTCACCCTTCTTTTTTGACTAAATAATCGAAAATCGAAAAATCAATTTCCCCCGAATACCAAAAATTGAAAATAATGCACGATTAACAGCGCATTCATAACCGACAGTTTAACGCCTTTACGGGGCAAATACAAATCGATCAACTTAATAGATAGAACGGAGGCATTTAAGGCACGTACTGATCATTCAATAAAAACTTTTTGTGATATTTATCTTTCGTCTCGCTGCATCGAAAATAAACCAATCGCTCTTCGTTGAACGTAAGAACTTTAATAAATCAATTAGGCATTATACACACACACACACACACACACCGACTCAAGCTTGCGCAAGTGATACGGGTATTACGAATTATCTCGAGCCAAACAGGTTCGCAATGAGAATATGATTACTGAACAAACAATCCACTACGATCGCGGGTTATGAATAAAGAGGTAAAAATATTGTCCCACGTCTGTCAACGGACGCCTCAATAGAGTGAACGTGCCGACCTCAAATGTAAATATCCTGATTAAATTCTCCACGGATTGACATTTAGGTTGTTTATTAACCCATATTATCATAAAAAAATACTTTACTGAAATTATTTATTTTGTTGCACTTAAGGATACATTACATGCAAAAAAAATACTGGTGTGTAAACGAACCACTGGGAAAAAACATTAAATAATGTTTTGGGGTACATAAGATGTAACATATAATTTATACATAAAAATACAAAAGAAATTTCACATTCGACAGAAAACAACTAAAAGTAGATTGTTTTCCAAATAGAACCTGATTTGATACAAAAAAACGCATAATATGTTATGGTGCGTGAGCGCACCACTGGTAACACCCGGTTTCATTTTTGATATCATAAGATCAATTCCTTTGCCGTCATCAGTAGACCAATAATGCTAAATATGTGGCAATG